AAATATTAAAGCTATGATAAAAATGTTTATAGGTAAATTATTTAGTATTAAGAGGCATGTTATACGGTATATGTGAATGCTTTTTACGTGGGTGCGATAGTAGGAAATTTCAAATAACTTTTTTAAATGGAGCTCTATAGTTTTTTATTTACAACCTGTGATAGTGGGTGTTGAGGAACACTTAATGATATGCTTCATATATTAGGTATTCCGATATGGTAGTGTTATAAATAAATGGGACTTATTGTTATGTAGGTTCCGTGGATGGGAATTTTTACGATTCGCGAAGACCTTCGACAAGCATCACCATTCAGTTTCACTGAACTATAGATCACTATAAATAAGAATGAACTTTCTTATCCATCTTCGTGTATCTTACATTTATTCCTTTTTCCTGACTTTCTTATTCTTCCTTGTATGTTCCTAAATCTAACATGCGCACCTTGTTTGTAAAACGTTTCGTCCCGTGAACGTATCCGAAACTTTTGAATTCTCAAATTCTTGTTTTCCTTCTCCTCACAGCTGCGAAACTTGCCACTTCTTCCACCACCGGAGATTCCGAAAGGAAAAAACGAACCAATCAAGTATGTGTTTCTTGAAACGCAGTTAACTTACAGAAAGTTCGGAATTACTTTGCGACCAGTCGTCAGAAAGTTACTGAGTCCAGAGATAATCTCAGAAAGTTCAGTTTGTATTTCTTTTTTTTTTGAAAACGTCATTAAATGCTCGGGAAAAAACAGAAGTAGTTCCCCTGCAGGAGGATACATATTTACCTTACAGGAAAGTCAGTGCCGAATTTCACAGACCTCATTTCAAATTAAAACCATCGATTTCGTTGTCAGTATTACAATTTGTTCAGTTGTGCAAATGGACTGAATGTGTTGAACAGAAGGTAGCAATCAATTGTGGTGTGTCAATGACGATTGTTTATTAAATTCTTAAAAATAAATTAGTTATAACCATATTTAACCCCTTGTCCTATGATTTCTTCCATATCTCCACTCCTTATAATTACTTTATGTTTAATAATTCATTAGTAAAGTATAAGAATTTTATACGCATTCTAAGTCTACATTTATTTTAAAGCATAACGATTGATGACAGATAAATAACATTTGATTTGGATTCAAAAGAACTGAATTGCATTTCTATTTATTAAATGTCGTTTTTTAATCTTCACCATAAGCCTCGCGGTAAGAGTTAAGGGATTGCATCACTTAGTTGGATAAAAGAATCGATTTTTAAAAATTGTTTATTTTATTTGTGCAATCCTTACAGAATATTTTTCTAAACTTTCATTTAGAAATTTGTTGAGCTATCGAATTTAGAAAGTAAAAATTAAAACAGTTAAGTAGAAAGTGAAAATGAAACTATTTATACTATTCAAAATAATCTCCAATTTTTTTGCTTATTGCAGCAGTAACGGTTCTCTCAAGCTAAGCGTATGTGTATTTGGTTAACAATTGAATCAATCTTGCACTGGAAGATAGGATGTAAAGTAAGGGAACGTTTCGCCGATCGACGCTATTCGATACGCGTTAACGGAAACTAAGTCCCGTTTATTCATGGCACTGCCACATAAAATGATAAAATATAGCGTGTCGTTGAACTTATCTCAACACCCGCTTTCACAACGTGCGTAGTAAATAAAGAATATAGAGTTCCGTTTTAAAAAATTAACTTTACCTTGAAATCTCCACTACTACACTAGTGGAAAATATAGTTAATTTAACTAACTTTATTAAAGACTTAAGTCAAACTAGTATAAATTGGATTGCGGTTTGAATTGAACGTTTCCATAAGTCTTGAAACCCACTGTTGATCCGCTCATACTCCGTTTCGGTTTCATTTAACATGTTCATGACCACGCATCACATACATATATAAGACACAGTTATTCGTTTAGAGAGCCCAATGTTTCCGTTGCTATGACGATATTAACATATGAGCTACGCAATGGTCAAATCGATTAACTCCAGAAAACAGAAAGCAGAGAAAATGATGGAATTGTGTACACTGGCTTCACAAACTTCTGTTTAAATGAAAAATTAAATAAATATTATAGAATGTTTTTCACTTTATTATTATAGGTATAGTCTTAATCTAACGAGCATCTAAAATGTAAAGTAGTAAAACCATGAACAACTTATTCTAGTTTAAATGCAAAATGGCCAATAAATGGCAAAATCGATTAACTCCACAAAACAGAAAGCGTTATATTTTACGTTATTATCATAGTTATAGCCTTGATCTAACCACCATATAAAATGCATAAAGTAGTATATTCTTCTCGTCATTTTTATTATTATTGTAATTGGATATGACCAAAAGAATTTTTTTCATTTCGTGAAATGGAACCTAACAATAGAGAATTTATTTCAACTAGAAAAAGTTAGGTACCCATTGAGCGCATCGATGGTAAAATTTCAAAAAATTCGGAAAGTGAAGTTTTTTGGCGTATCGTATACCCTATTGTTGCTTTAGCTACATCAGATGTAACATCACAAATTAAAAATTATATATCTTATTAATATATCTTATTAATATATAAAATAAGATAACAAAAATGATATATCCTTACATTTGACTAATACACACATATCCTTGTTTCTTTATCATACACAAAAATTCCCCAATAAAAATTGTTTACAAAACATGGAAGTTTTTCTTTTAACCGATGCATTGGTCCCAAACTTCTGACCGATAGTGTACATGATACTTATGTAAAATGCATTGTTTGGTTTTTTACTATATTTCAAATGTATACAAATTATATGTATAACATATCACATGGCAGAAAGGCATCCGCAGTATTTTAAATACGACCGTGGTCGCGATTATTCAATTGTATATGATGCGTTTGTTCACACTATGAATTCTGATCCGATTTCGTTTTACCATCGATCACCGGAAAAAGTAAACAATTAAAAAATATTGAGCGCAATGTGAGCAGACCGATAATGCCTTTCAGGCCTGTACGTGTAACTTATAACCTACTCGGGTTAATGCAGCGGGTTAACCCGTCCTCAATGTACTTTAGGAGCAGTTCTTATGTGGTACCAACAGGTTACGATACGGGTTACAATTAGAGCTGTGACTTATGAAATAAAGGTCTACTAGAGCCAGTAACAATTGAATCGCCGGATTTTATTTTCAAATAATTAACCCCTTGTATTGCGATTTCTTTTACAACTACCCTCGACAAAATTATTTCATTGTTTAGAAATTATCAGAAAAAAATTCCACGTTCATTCTATGTCTACACTTACTTCCATAAACCATAAAGTCTAGATTACAAAAATTCCTCATCTAAACCTTCAAAATAGATAATAGAGGTATATTTCATTTGGGCTCGAAAAAATTAAGTGACATTTATATTTGTTAAGTTCTATTTTAATTTTTCGCTACGAGGGACATGAGGTTAATTGTTTTATTTTTATTATATCAAACAATTATGAATTACCCAAATATTAATGAACGCTTCAAAAACACTTAAAGGGTTAAACACGCTGGAGGCAAAGTGATGATATGAGAGTGCATAATTATCAACGCGTGAGTAAATTGCATTTTATCGAAGGAACGATGGGCAAAATCATGTATCTAGCTATACTAAAAAATAATTTAAAACATAATGTTGAGGAATTAAGAATCGTAATTATTTTTATGAAGATAATGACTCCAAATATAAATTTAAAACGATGCAAGAACGGTTATTATACAATTGACTGAAAATAAGTAATACTCTAGTTCAGTCTCTTGATTTGAATTCTATTGAAATAGTAATAGTAAATAACATTGAAATAAATAAAAAATAAAATATGTAAATAGTCAATAACAAACAAGACTAAATTGCAAAATCGTATAAAGAAAAAATGGCAAAAAGTTGAAGAGGATTACATAGTGTATGTAAACACTATAGTAGGATCTATGCCAAAGAAGCTTACTGAGCTATACAAACAAACACAATATTTACCATCCAAATATTAACTTTACCATTTGCATAATGTTTAATAACTGTGCAAATAATTTTGTAATGTGAACACACGTATGCAATCGCCATAAATCGTTTTTCATGTAATTATTAACCATACACAATTTTTTAACTTTTGTTAGCGGTTACATTTATAGTATAAACTATGTATTCGCAAATAAAGTAATTTATTATTCAATTATTTTATTCATATTTATCAAGTTCATACTCGGATAAATAATTTTGTGAATCAACGTAAATGTACTACATATATCTGTATATGTATACTATAATTCCGTGAATATCGAATACACAAACTAAGAAACTATGTACTCAACAAAGGTGAACGTGCCGAGGTTGAACTACCTATAGAATGCCATAGAAACATTTGGGACAAAAGTAAACACTACTGACGAGACACGTAGAAATCATAAATTTGTCCATTTCAGGCAGACATTCCTCGCACTGGTGGAATACTGATTTGATATTACAATTGTAATACGCGTTGGCTTGACGTAGAAATTTTGACGCTTATTGTACGTGGTTAACAAAAAAAATGTTTTTCTTCAAAACAAGTAACATCTGTTTTCAAACTATTATAATGTGTATAAAGGACACTTCTTTCTTCGTTTTTACTTAGTTTTGGTTTAGCTAGTGAACAGTTGAGAAGTCTTCTATTTATTTCTTACAAAAGAACGTCGAAATTGTCGCATCAACTTAATACACTAAACATTTGTTTATTTTATTGTTCTTATTGCAGTTCAATTTCAATGTTCCATTAAAAGAAAATTCATTGCAAAAATGTATCTTGAACCCCTCCGTTTCAAATAACGTATTCCGTAAGTACTCTATATAAATAATTCAAGAGCGATTATTACTAACGGTTCTGCTTAATACTTCCTTTCCTTCAGAACAATTCCTTCGATTGTTTGAAATTTAGGAACAACTACTACAATATTCGCAAAAGAGAAATACATTTTACCCAGGAAATATTTACTTAAACTCGTATGTATAAATACTTCATACGTACCTGTTTATATAAACGAAGTCTCACGCATCGGCAAGGGTATCTTCGACGTCCCGAAGAAATTCACTAACAGAAAACTAGTGTTTAATTCATTAGAAGTCAAAGAGTGCAGTGCACCGAACACCCTCTTTCAACGAAACTAATTTTCGGCCCTTGCCCCCCTCCTGCTCCTTAGAAAGAATCGTTCAACCGTCGCTGATCACAACCGAGTACAATGGAAAACGGGGAAATCAAATTTATTTGGTTAATCGTAGAAAGGGGCGAGACTCGTTTCTTTTCACTGGATGAAATGACCAGGTAAACTGACAATTTCACGATACGTTCGTATTTCCTTTGAACGAATTGCAAAGGAGAAATAAGAAGGTCGGAAGGAGTAAAAATCAGACGCGACGACGCGGAGGCTGACGACGCACTGACTAGCTGCTCCCGACAGTCGAACACTCGAAATAAAGAGGGAGAGAGCAGGAGTTAGGGAGGGAGACAGAACGAGAGCTAGTGAGGGCAAGAGGGAAAGAGAGTGAGAAGGAGAGCTGACTAGATGCCTAGAGGGCGAGAGGGAGGGTAGATGAGAGAATGAGAGGTAGCGAGGGCGAGAGCATCCCCCACTGTACTGACACGCTCCGTTGTGCCAAAACCATCCCCCACCCCTGCCACGCAATCCTCCTCGATTACACTCCATACTCCTCGTCCTCGGCCTTTACTGATCGGAACCGAGTGATCCACTTCACTCAGCGTCGAAAATCGCACTATGACATACATACACCCGTTTATGCACATTAAATCAGAAATGAGAACTATTACTTGGCGCGTGAAAAATCTATTCCTATCAAAATTATAAACACCTTACCAATTGAACACTATGTGTGCCGTACTACATTATGCGCGCGTTGACGATCAGTAGAACAGAATCCACCAACGAGACGAATGCATTATGGAATACTGTAGAACCCCGTATAATTCAATTAACATATTCCGAGTTCCCGAGTCTCAGGTTTACGAATTTCGCGTGAAATTTCACTTTTGGATAGTGGTCCAACTTGTATTAAGATGGACTTCTGTTTGTACTAGTTTCTTATGGGAAATCTCACTTTCATAGTTATTTTTCGACTATTTTTTAAACCGCTTTATAGAGGGTCTTATTGAAATTGAGTATTGGTGTGAACTATAGTCTTGGGAACACGAAATTTAGAACTTTTTTTGTTCAATCTGTTAAATTTTGTTATTGTGGTAAGCTTTTTTCGGTCTACACTCCGTGAGAAAACTAATAAGATACTGTTTGAAATCGTAAGTATTGGTACTGTACGAAGGAATTTGTTTCTCCTGCTCAAAACGAATACGAAAACTGTTAAAGACAACTATGTAAAACATTCGTAATGAAATTAAATCATAATTATCGGCGAAGGGGAATAATTATGAAAGTAAAAACATACTGTAAATGTCGACAAATTTATTTCATTCATTTCCTCTATCTTTGATTTTCAATCTCGAATTCTTAATTCTCCGAATCTTCGTTTCCTTTTAAAAATGTAATTTTCTTATAAAACAAGATATATAATTATTCGGAGTGAAACTGTGTTATGCTGTAGTTCTCCTAAAAAGATATGACACCACTTTTTTGCAACTATGTATATTACTATTTCTATTCGTATTTATAGTATTTCGCATGCTAACAGAATAAACATGGTTTTCAGAGTGAAAAATGCGAAACGTATGTTGGCGAAATGTGTACAGTGATGAATTTCGCATATCAGAATGATAAATTTATATAAACGAGTTTATATTTATATGGATGTATGAAAAACATCGCGAAAAACTTGTTTTATTAAATGATTTAGTGTCAGATAACTCATTTCATTTCCTTTCCGAAAGAACACTATGTTATTATACAGTGTGTCCTGGGATTTTCTGGCCAAACTGCGAGAGTATATTCTACAAGTGGAAATAAGGTCCACCGCCGCGGTGAGTGACATAGTCATTCTCAGCTGGGCAGCGACCTGATCGATATATAACGTCGATCCTATTCCCCTTAACCTCTTCTGGTAAGATTCAATCATGAAAAATTGTATATAAAATAACCACTTAATTTTTATCTGAAAAAAACATGTTTCGTTTTATTTACTTCTACCTAGTAGTTTTAACGGTAAATAATATGTAATAACGATCTGTGATATTTACACAAATAACAAAAGGAGATGCAATATTACCAGATTCAATAAACTAGAAATTTTAAATCAAATTAACTATTATAATATTCACCAGTGATTTTACTCACATGACGAGTGTAGCTCATCATTGTACAGTAAGGCATGAAAATTTAATGACGAGCTATACTCGTCATTTTACTGGAAGGGGTTAAGGCCGGATTACTGATATTTAATAATTAATTTCCTTAATCAATTATTACTGCTTATAATCAATACTATAACGATTATGTCTGGTAATCAATTAAATCAATTGCCAATTCTCTGACAGATAATTTTCATTACTCAATGATTAATGATTACTATATATCATTAGCCCTCCAACCGTAGACAACATGGAATCCGTGTTCCCTCACTACCATACACAATTCAACAGCAAATTACAAGAAAACTATTTATTTTTACCCATGGTTCCATTGAGACTACTTGTCTCCGCGACAAGTAGAATACGATTGGGCAATAACAAATTTTGATCCTTTTTGTCAAGATCAGAAGTAATTCTGCGGCAGCTTCTTTACCTCAATCTCCATCAAACCGAAGGTGTAGAATCACGCTACTACAAGAAAATACAATCATTTCTTTCCACCGTGTACTCTGTGATCATCGCCATAGCCGAGGCACGGACAATCACGTTGGCCTAGGCTTTTTACCACGACCTTGCCAGCTCTTTGTCCAAACCACTGCTGTTTATTATAACATAGTAAATATAAGGTATGATACCTGACCTAATACCACTGATCGTGGCGTCTAAGTTGTCTCAGACAGCGGTCTCTCGGGCTCGCTCGTGCGGGCTTAAGCTGTTTTCTTTCTACTCATCGTTCGCGTTTTTACTATTGACGACAATAACTTCGAAAGGCCATCGATGATATAACGTTCCCATATGTAAACTTAAAGATCACGTTTGTGTATCCAGAGAAAATCAGAAATTTTCATTCACTATACACTTAATTTACGCGATAATCTATTAACAAATATCTCAAAAAAATAAACTAAAAGACAATGAAGTTTAATTTGGTTAGGTAACATTTTTCTTGAACCGACTAACTGCGTTTGACAAGTATACGTGTCATCCTAAAATCAAAATGATACTAATTCTTGCAGCGATAAATTATTTATTTTTTCAGATGAACATGTAATTCTTCTTCGTTTTGCTTTACTTTTCGTTAGAATATATTATAGGTGCATTTGGCCTGAGTTTGACTAGTATACACTTCATTATCTAATTTCATTGCGAGCATTACCTAAGACTTTTGAAATTAAATTCCACAGTTAACGGGTTAATAGTTGTCAATAAAAGAATTCGTAAAACTTTACATATTTTTATACGTCTCTAGGTAGTCTTCCCCTTTAAGTGCCTCTACCGAGACATTCGCCTTCTACTTCAAGGGATTTTTAAACTAAATTTTGAACAGTATTACTTTCAGAAACTGTTGGGAGCTTTATTTGGAGTACATAAAATGCTATGAATTTTACGATAACCAGGAAAAAGCGGACAAGAAAAAAAGCACACACAAAGAATGCGTTCAGAAAAATGTAATTGAAACGCGTAATGTAAAATACGCACAGCGCATAATCCGTACATATAAGAAATGTAAAATATTTATTGAATTATCGCAGAAAAATACTTACTTATTGTTAAACAAATTATATATTGTTTCATAATTCTTCTGAACACATTGTTGACTGGCAATTTTTCCATCTCGCTGATTATTATTCGGTCATTAAATATGAAAGTGAAACAATCGAATTAAATTTCAATACACTTCATTTCTACATAATGAATTGAAATAAAACTTTGGACATATCTTTTATATAACTTTCAATATTTTGCTCTTGAAATATTTCATATTCCCTGTGTTTCAAACATTGAAGTAGCTAATGCAAGCGTAAACACGAGTTATCTCGTGACCGGTCAACAATGTGTTAACACTTTCGCTGCTACGAAAAACATCAGCGTTTTACGTATCACTTATTCCTTTATAATAAAGATAAAGAGGAACACTTATTAATTATTTGCTACCACAAATCTTACGTTACCAGGTTATCTAGTTATTTATGATATTGAACATTTTTATTCGACGTCAGTTGTTTTATGAATTATAATTGTTTTCAAGTCATTTTAAAGCTCCGATCTCATGGGACCACTGTGCTAGAGAAAGTGTTGCTATTGTGCATTCAAAAGAGATTAATTTTTACACGGGGCAGGGGTGTAGAGGGCGGCAGAGCCACTCTTCCGCTCACGGTTTTGTTTTACAATTGTAGATTTCATATATGCGCGGATTATGGACTGTGTGTATTTTACATTGTGCAATTATTCCCGTGTGCACGTTTTTGCTGTCAGCTCTTTTTATGTAACTGAATTTTACATAGGATATATTCACACTATCAGTCTGCTCCCGTTTCAGTCACGTCCCCAAAGATCTACATTGTCCAGCCGCTTGCAGTCCGGTCACGCTTTGCTTTCAGTGCTATCATATTATATCCACTGTTTAGAGGAATGATCTTTTCTCAAGAAAAAAATTCATCGAGAATATCCACGGTTCCTGATTAATATTCGATTAATGATCAATTAAGAAACAATTTAATTAGTTTATAGTTTATTGAAACAATCTATCTGTTATATATAAACTATTACATTAATATTATATAAACTTATATATAAATATACACTATTAACCGTTTGTACTCATATGTCATGCTAGAGACGACAATGCAAATTTGTTATACTTCATTTATGGTGCTTTAAATAGTACCACACTTTAAAAGATTATAAACATTAAAACATTGAATTTTACGGCTGTAAATTACTTTCATTCATTTCCCTAAAAATAAATACAAGTTTATACCCAACAAGATTGAAAATAAATCGAATGCAAAGGGTTAATCTTATGTTAAAAAATTATTAAAAATAAGCCTAAACTGTGGATTGGTGTTCTTCGTTTACCAACAAAATATACAGTTATTCAATTGTATGAGCAGCAATCGACAATTCGTTTATCGTTGAATTATATTTTCTATACTTCCTATAATGTTAGACAAAATTGTTTTAAATATTTCGATAAGATAATGAACAGTATTATATTATAAATTACTTTACTTAAACAGAAGTACTCTATTTCAAATGAAAAATGTAGAATCACTGTAGGTGTAGTAGTCGTGACGTATATTTTTTAAACATCCTATGCATACGTGCATTCGTTGGTATGTTGTATCACACATAAAGCCATAGAAAGTTTTCCGCAATTTCGATGCAGTACGTTTCGAAACCCTCTATTTTTATCGGTATATGCTAGAAATTGTAAGCAAGATCAGGGAAAGATTGGCGACGGTGTTCTCATTGTTGCTTGTACCGAATTCCGGCTTTAGTTACGAGTAATCCTATTTCAGTTCTGGAGAGTTTTGTTTCTTTTTTTATTTCCGTTATCTTCTATTTACTGCCTTCTCCTTAAATTTGCCAGTAACAGATAATCATATTATTTGATAAATAGAGTGAACATTCAAAGAATTCATGTGTGTAACAACGATTTACCGAATCTCGTTATTAGATTTAATTCATCCTCGTATAACATAATCTTTACGCAAGTATTTGACATATATTTTCTTACTGGCAATAGTAAGTGTTAAAAGGGAAAAAACCGCCCTTAAAGTTGAGGTTTTCAAATTTGTTTCGGCAAGTATCTCGAAGACTGTCAAAGGTAGAGTAATTGCATAAATTCACGAAATTTATATTTGTTTCAGTTCAATATTAATAAATTTTCTTGAATATATATTTACCTAAAAAATGTACATTTAAGTACACAGTAAGAATAAATTTAAATATTGATTTCTGCATTACGAAATTCAATTCGTAATTCGTAATTCGTAATTCGTAATTCGTAATTCGTAATTCGTAACCCATCATTGCATAAATTCATAAATGAGGAATTACCGAAATATTAAAAATTAAGAAGAATATTTTTTCATATTCGATTAGGATTTCGACGAAATGTGTCACTGTGCGACACGCCTACTTGTCAACTAATCCGAACCTTAGACGAGCTATTCACGAAGTACGATGTGTAATATCGAATATATGTATCCCTGCTTACATCTCTGGAACTAATAACAAGCCCGGTTATTTGTATAGGCAAGAGTTGTTCAAAAAGGTGTCCCTGGTAACAAGTTTTAAGGTCGTTTAAGGCTGAGGTTACACTGGGGCGTATACATATAGTACATATTTAATTGCTTCGACATATTAAATTCGTCGAAGCATCGATTTATTCGAATATACATGCAGTGTAACCGTTGCGGTTAGGTTGCCTATGTTGACAGAACACCAAACTTCTAATTACTTTCTAAAGTTTTTTACACATATATAAAATTGGTCAAGAAAAGGACTTCAATTCTATTAAAATCAGTGAAGATCATTCTTACATTTTACATAAGTATAAAATGGAAAGTAACACTAAAGGTACCGGCACATTGTACATACTTATTCCCATTACAACCAGTCAAATAAGTGGTTACAAAATGAGGGTGAAAAAATTAGAAGATAAATTTTCTTAGTGGAAATAGAAAGAAAAGAAAACATAATAACTTAAAAACTAATTAATCACACAATATAGGAATTGATATAAAATTAAATAAACGTAAAAAAACACAGAATTTACAGTGAAATTTAAAAACCGGTTATTTGACCTGTCGCGGAACGTTTAGTGTTAAATTGACTTCTTAAAATTCCTTTAGAGAAAGTCCAAGAGTGCATCTATTCAGGCTTTAATTGATTTTCAATTCAGTTTGCGCATTGCTGCAGCAATTGCTCTAAGAATTTCTCTTTTGAATAATTGCAAAAAGGACTAATCAGGAATGGATCATTTTGACCGGTCTGGTAGTTTTAGTGTCAAGGAAGCAAAAATGATTTTATTTTCTTAACACTAAAACTACCAGACGAGTCAAATGATCTATTCTTGATTTCTTCCCTCTGCAATGATTAAGAAAATAATAGATGTTTCCCTGAGAAATTATTAAAGAAATTGATTTAGCATTACGCAAATTGAATTGTTAATCAATTAAAGTCTCAGTAGATACACTTTTAGAGTTTCTATAAAGAAATTTCAAAAAGTCAATGTAGCTGCTCGGTAGTTTTAGTATTAAAATTTGATAAACAGCACTTGGGGCGTATAATCTCTATAGGTACAAGACTTTTTAGGTGGTAGACCAACACGGTCTAATCTCTCCGTTTTGGGGAACTTAATGAAATTTTCGACAGGACCATAAATGGTCTATATTGCCGGTGGAGGGTTAAAACTATCTAATTACTTAATAAGTATATCATGTTTTATATCATGGACTATTATAAGTACTTTGGGCTCAGTTTTACTTGGGTTCAATAACATTTGAACTTGCAAGGTTTCGATGAAGCCTCTACGTGTCTTTCGCTCTTCAGTTCACGCATAACCGCGATTCAACAGGGTTGCCTCACTGTTTCTGTTACTCGTTTCTTCTGACATGACCAATACAGGAAAAGTGAAATTTTGTGGTGAAAAAAAAACCTTTCTTAAAGGTAAGAATTTTTTAATGTGTTTTCATTCTCTCTGAATTAATATAACTCTGAGAGTCCATCTAACACAACTAACAGAAGCTTCGTCGATAGTGTTTACACGGATGTTATTTCACCGGCATATGTTTTCATTTATATTTTAGTCTCATAGACAAAATAAAATTAAATGACCACTAAAAATAATCAATATTCGAACTGCTATAACTTTCTGAAAAAAATGGTACAACAGCCAATCTGACCTCATTTTAAAAAGTGAAACTACTACTTCCACATTCATGGATTGAATTTTTCCAAAAATACTGTGTTTTATAAGAAGAACCTGGATACTAAAATTGGTTTTTCTCAAATTGTACAAATGCAAACAACAGAATTAAAAAGACTTCTTTTCCAAATTACTATTAAAACGATCTTATAAAACTAAAACTGCTATTTCAAATAATCCATAAAAATTTTAATCGGAAAGTTCGCTGCCAGTGTTGGAATAAAGATACCCTATGAGGAAGTAGAACAGTCGTACTTGCATTGTTATACCTACTACATGGTGTGTGATTAGTGCGTGTTTTGTTCGAATTGAAATATGGTACAGTGCACGTGACGTTAGTAGGTGTTCAAGTTAGCGTTTTGCTGATTTCGAATTTATTTATGAAATATGAGCCTTTGGATCTTACTTTCATATGCATTTGTGTACTGAAAGCTATTTTGGAATAACGGCACAATTAAACATAGGTCAGGCTGAATTGAGGTTTTCCATTTTGATCAATAAGATTTGATCTATTGCAATAATACTTTTTCAATTGAAAATTTGTAGATCAGTATTGGAAATCATATCATAATTATAACAAATCTATATTTTGCTTAAATTAAAATTAATCTCACCTTGTGAATTGGATGTTTGAAAATTAAAGAAAAAACGTATCACACGTACGTTAATATTTAGCTACGAAATTTCTGTATGTTAGATTGAATCTGTTACAACTACTATCGCAATAATTTAATATTCCATCATAAGTACGTAAAATTGTACTGAAAATTTCGTCTACTACTAATATTTCAAAGGCCATTAGCAGCAATGTTATAAAATAAATATGAAGTATATTTGTACGGAACCAGAATATTAAATGGTACAGTATGTTTTGAATATAACTATTTTTCTTATTCATCTGAAACGAACTAAAAAAATCTGAAACTGTAAACAGAATCATTGCAATTTTACATTCTGAAAAATTAATTTTTAGAAAGATACATATTATAAGTACACCATTTTATCATGAAAATATTAGAAATAAAAGATCTTTTTTTGATAAACGAATTTAAAACCAGCTAATTACTCACTTATGCCCATTATAATTTTTATGTATTCGTTTATTTATTTATTTAATATTCGTTTCATTCAATATCCCTGATATCGGCAATAGAAAGTAATCGGGTTTGTGTGGAATTAACTAATGTATTACCTGTCACCTTCGTATATACACATATGTATGTATATGTATATATATATACACACACACTGCAAATTACAATATAGGATTATTGTGATACCAGAGAAATGTCAGCTACATTTCCTTTCAATCAACAATCAATAATATAAGTAGGTACATCATCAAAAAATATAAAATGATTGAGAAACAATTAGAGTATGAAAAATTCTTAAACGTTTTTGAAATTCTCTGTTATGAATATGTCTAACGCCATTTATAATTATTAATTGAGTCGCACAGAAGCCAATTCGTTTAAGTCAACTTTTTTATATTTTTTGATGTTTGTAAATTTTAATAGAATAAATAATATTCTTTTTAGTTATTAAAGGATTTACTCGTTACTTTGTTTTTTTCTAAATCAGAAAGTCCTTTTTATAGCTTCTGAACATCTTGTACAATAATTTCAATAGCCAAAACATTAGTGTTTTCAATTTTTGTTTTCTGGACTTAACTGCATTGGCTTCTGAGCGACTCAATTAGTCTTGATCGAAAAATTATTTAATTTTGGAAACATTCGGTAAAAGTTGTTAACATAAGCTTTTTACTATAATATTTATTCATCCCTCAAAAATAGTTACATTTTTTTGTATCAAAATACTTAAAAGTAGTTGCTATAGAGCACTTTGAAGTTAGGTATACACAAAAAAGTAGGTCATTAATTGCCATGATTTAAGCCGTTTGGCTTGTCTGAAACAAACAAACTAATGATTTTCAAACTGTATGAACATAATTCGCACAAGTACCAAAATGAAAAAAATATATTTCACTGTTTCGTTTGCTTTAATTTGTTTCATTTCATTTGATAATTTATTTGTATGTTACTCACTTAAAAGCTCATATCAAATGTTGTTTATAACGGTTGTTGCTCGATAGCTGTTTATCAATTTGTTAAAAATTATTAAAAAATCATTAAAGGATAAACCTTGATTATCTACTATATTAAAGTTTAATAAATGATATACTCTTACTATCAATTATGTGTTAGTCTATTATTAGCCGTCAGTTTCGCTTTCTTCAGATGATGATACATGCGTGAAATAATCATTTAAATGAAACGTACACAAACTAATAGATCGTTTGTTTTGAACATATCCAAAATACACACATTCCTCCATTTACGCGGTACATTGTTTATGAATACAAATTTTAACAAATGTATTATAATGTTTAAAAGTATTGCATTAAAAACAACTGCATTGTAAACACAACATTGTACACAACTGTGTTTGTAAAACATATAATGTGTATGTTCACAACCAAACGGTTATTTCTAGGTCAAAAACTAAAACGAACAATGATAACACATAGTATATGTATGTATAGTCATCCTTGAAATTAATTTCTCCAATAAAAAACAGTTTCTGATTACACAGTAAATTATAACGCTATTTACGCGGTACTTTCAATGCGCAATATTAATTTGTGCGACCAGGGAATATATATCCTTAGAATTTGTGAAAGTAACAATAACAGTAACGCCGAAAAGAAACCTCACAATGTTTGTTTCCTACAAGCCGGATTATGATTATTCAGCAATATTCAAGTACGTTAGTGCTGTATTAGGTAAGGTCAGAAATACATCACGTTGTACTAGCAGTACGCAACTTGCGTAATAAGCATCGGTAAGACAGTACTTAACACATTCAAGGGAAAAAGTATTAGAAAACAATGATGAACACTTTCTGAAATCTAATTTTGTACACTTAATTTGTAAAAAGGGTACTGTATTTATTTTCACACACTCCTACCCCTCGTTGTTCAGAGGATGATCTCTAGAACAACGGTGTCTAAATCGGTGCAAATGGTTTATTCTTAAATATTCCAGGGATCCTTTTGCTCGTCGTAACATCGAAGGCTCGAGCTTATAGTGAAGAAAGTTTGGAAGGAAATTCATCTTTCAGCAATAGCAATTGTTCTACAGCTGATTTTATTACTTTACAAACAACCACTGAAGAACAAGACAGTGAGATTGAAATTATGGCCGACGTGTTAGTCAATGAATCAAACAACGATGTAAATACATCTCACTTGAAAACATTTATAATTACTAGTAACTGGGAAGATCAAAATGTAGAGCTAAAATTTCCGAACACTAATTTAAATAACCAATATAAAATAACGAGTCTGAATCTAGACAAGGGAATATTCATCTTTGATTTTCTACGAAGATTCCTGTCTATCGTACATCCTTATGATCTACCGCCTGGTAATGTATACATTCTTCTCAGACATAAACGTTCAGTTGATACAATTTAAAGTAAAAGCACCAATAGTTGTCCGGAAAAATTTCTTGCGTGAATAATAGTAAACGTTTGCTTCTTTATTAAATAGAGAAATTCTATGCGTGAAAATACTGTTTTAACTTCTTACATTATGTAACCTTTTTGAAATAGTTATATTATCCAAATTTTGTAGACATTTCTGAAAATTCAATATTTGCATTAGAAGTTGACCATCTTTTACAACAAGGAAACTAGTAATTGACCATATGTTAGTTAACGGTTGACCACTGATAGTCAAACCAAAAACACTAAAGGTAATTACTTTAGTATCATTTATTTGCACCGACTACGACAAATTACAAGTAATACAAATAAAAAGAAGTTAATTCTACGTTGAAAATTGGAGGCATAAAATCGACGTCAATGAAATAAATGGTTAGTTTTTATGATAAACAATTGAATTCAAGTAAAAATGTTTCAGAGTTGGGTCGATAGATGATACAGCATATCTATCGCGCCTTCATCGAAAGATGATTGCTTTCAAAAACCTTATTTTTTACGTTTTCCTGAAAAATGGTCAACTACTAATACTAGGTCAGTTACTGATGCCTTTATATTATATTTTTAATTTATTATTAGAACGTGAGGAAATTAATAAAACTGCCATATGCAAAATGAGTTCGTTTTGAAGATCACAGTAGAGAACATGTAAAAAACATCCTAAATTTTATAAATTGCACTCTATATTATTACAACAGTACTTTTCTTTGTATAAAAACTAATTCAGTGACCTGAATACTGCCTTTCGTTTGACCTTGATCACTTTTATATGTAATCAAAAGTTCATATCAAACGTTATTTTAGATTTTTTATTCATTTATGCACATGAAATCAAACCCTTTCAGTTTACACCTTAACTGTAAGCACATCCTTTCTTTCTGTGATATTTTCAATTATTTACAAACACTATGGCAATGTATTTTCAAATTTCTAGAACTTGGCTGCCTATTACAATTACAGCTTACTAGCTGACTTTTTTTCAAACCTGACATTATATTTATATTTTGAATGTTGAGTAAAATTTAGTATTTTTCTTAGTCAATAATCTGACCATATATTTCGTAAAAAGTGTCAACAATTTCCATTATGAAACACATTTCGTAACGTGAAGTAATAATGAATTAATTCTAAAACAATATTGCTTTAAATACGTTTTCTTTTGCAATTGTTGTTACAAGTTATATTTTAATCATATCTATTCAAATTTTTTAGAACTAGTAACGGATACAATGGAAAACGGTATCGATGTGTCGAAACTGATGACTCAAGTAAGTTAAACATCATATTATTGCACAGCAATTAAATCTATACTCGGTTAATGAAAATAAATTAACGTGAACGAATAAATACGCTTGTATGTACTTTTGCATGTTTACGCACTACATCAAAATGACAGTTAATACTGGAAATATCGAGCATTTATTAGGATTGATACGTAATCCTGATAAGGATTGCAACAACATATGTTTCTCAATTTCTGCAAACCTTTGTTATAGTATTTAAGTAACATTATTTGTTTTCAAAGTCGTTTCTGGTATTCAATACGTTGAAAATATCAATAATTACAAAATAAGAAAATTCAAACTCGTTATTTTGACGGGCACAGTAGTTCTAATTTTAATTTATACTAAAGCTCTGAATTTCCATACAACTTTTATGAATATTGAATAATTTAAATATATTCATATAATTATTCGCATACGCGTATGTTCATTCGGATTCATTTCTAATGATTTATGCTCGTTAATTAACCCTCGTTTGGACGTTGCAAGGATACGTTTAATCAGCTTTTTCCATGCATATCTTTTGACGTTATTACCATTTCTATGCGGGTTTATTTAATTGAGTACGTTAAAAATGGTTATAAAGCTGACCATTGAAACAGTATTCATTAAAATTTCATACAATCGAAATCATTTTCTCAATAGAATAGAATCCGAGAAGCCAAGAGATTTCATAGCCATTATTCAGTTAATCTTCTTGCATAAAATCAACAACATTCGATTCGTTCAATATATCACCGAGAAAGTTAATTTTCTATACAAAAAATCATATCACCCGGATTCCGACGATATGACAGTCGAAATGTTAAAGCATCACGGTGTAAAACATTATTTTGCATATTACCTTTATGGTTTGCATAAGTTCCCATGTTTTCCATTGTTGCAGTTTGTGCACTTAGAAGCAGTACTCATAGCAGTAATTGGTCTGTGTTTTATCTTCTGCTGCATATTACCTGCAACTGAACTTTGGCTTGCATGTCGCCCAATCAGAGAAGACTACAAACCGACTAAACATACAGGAGCACTTTCCTTCCTTCTCGCTGTTTCTGTTTGCGTCCTCGGGTGCGAATTACAATATATTCATTATATCAACTTGTTACTAGTTCAAAACTGCCTGAAATACTTTCACTATGTTTACTATTAAAACTTTGATTACTTTATGACATATAAACTCATTAACTTTTTAACGCCCACATCCCTAAAACAGTTACCTAAACATTATAAAATTAAATATATATACATGTATATTATACAAAATTGATCTTTCATTTTAAAGATCAAATTTTTGTTGATGTACGAATCATCCTGTGTAACATTTAATCAGCTACAAAAAATTACGCAGCCGTCCTGCTTTATAGCTTTCCTTTTTATAATATCGTGAGTAATCGTTATACAGGGTGATTCATACAATAATAATAAATTAAATTTTTGTTTTCGTTGAAGTTAACCAAAGATATTACAAAAATATAAATGGTTCAAATATATGTATTTTCATAATGTGATACGATTTATTTTCAGAATTGGCATGATAACAATCATAATATGTAACGAAGAAGTATCTGCGAGTGTGAAAAAGTTTCCCACAACAGTTGACGCTGCATTACAAGATCTTCAAGACTATCATGGCAGCAATACAGTCCAATTACGAAAACGTATTTCAAGAAGCCTAGACATTGCTAGTGAAGCTGTACTTAAGGACCTTGATGGTAAGAGAAATTTACTTGATACATATGAATGAGCATTTTCACAATATAGAATTGAAAAATATGAAAAAACCCTAGGTTAAGCATAACTTATAATACACTGATGCCTATTTTCTGATTTTTAACATGTATACTTAACACATATAAGACAAGAGATTTCACTCATAAACGAGCTGCAAATTCGATAATAGAAGTTTAATCAGTTAACTGCGTTTGACGAGTACACGCGTCGTTTTAAAGCTTGAAGTGATATTAATTCTATCTCAGATGAATTCTTTACTTTTTCAGTTAAGCATGTAATTCTTCTTTGCTTTGTTTTGATTTCTCATTAAAATATACTGTAGGTACATTCAACTTGCATTTCACGAGTATACGCTTCACTTTTTGATTTTATTGCGCGCAAAACGAGAGTTCCGAAACTAAATTCCAGAGTTAACAAATTAATATCTTTACCAAACCAGTACACAAATAATTTACCACAAAAGTTACTACAGAAAACAAATTTAGCTATATATACAGGGTGTTTCCGAAATATAGCGCATAGATGATGGGGCGTATACAACTCACTAAACTGAGTAAAAAAACCTCAGTAAACATGGGTCGGAAGCTCAATAGTTTTCGAGATAAAAATAGATTGGACTCACTACATTGTATATAATTACCTTCTTACGTAACTATTAAATTATTAATAAGGGTTCATAAGATATGTTAAGGAATTAAATGAAGTGACACTCTTGTGTGTAATATATTGAATATAAAAAATAAATTTTAAAATAATGGAGATTAAAACTTTCTGTTTATTATTTCTGGCTGTGTATCTGCAGACACATTAAAAATCACTAGATTTCATAAGATATTTTACTAGTTATTGTTAATTCTAAATATTGCTTGATATGCAGATATAGAAGAGCTATTAGCCAAACCAATTCAAATCGAATTGTTTGCTGAAACTGGCTTGGAGGTCACACTGGATGCACTTTTAGATTTAATAAATGGTAAGTAAGTTAATGATATTTAGTTATACTTTGATCTGTCTTTGTAATTTGAAAAAATGTTATCAATCTGAATGTCCATATTTTCTGATCTCGTTTCTTTAAATCGTTAATTGACCAAGTTGAATACGCTTTATTATATGTACATTGTAGATATAAGTATTCGATAATTATTCAAAATCATGGTCACCTCATCGACTTGGTGATCTTGAACTGATCCTGAGTTTTCAAGTTAAACTTCCGTGTTAAAAAAAATATTGTTCGCAACACATTGCCACGAAAGATATTAAATTTCACGTAAAAGACTTTTTATTATTTCGTTAAGAGAAAAATGAACTACTTTAATGAAATTTTAAAAAATTGGAAAAGTGAAGTTATTCGATTTGGCCAATGAGCAGCTCATATATCATAACTGAATATTTTACTACCTGAAACCGTCAATTCCAGGAATATATTTTCTAAACGTATATAGTACCATCTAATGAGTTGGAATTGCCGTGGTAACAAATTTAAAAATCTTCTAATAAAGGAATCAAACACGTAAAATTCGAATCAAATATTCGTTTAACGAAATGTACTTTAATTTCAGGGAGTCAAGAAGTGTCAAATAAAGTACAATCATTGTTAACGAATGGGGATAAAGCCAGTAATCTTGTAAAACGGTTGAATCGAGAAATCTACGATATAAATCGAAATTTAGAAAGTCTGCTGAAAGCATGTACAGAACAAGACCGTTTGATCTGTAATATCATTGACTCTTCTGAATTACAATTAATTCTACGTATCGATCAGGTAAACGATTTATCGATGATGAATAGTTTCCAGTTACATTAATGTTGTTAATATTAATCATACTTTTTAATTGTCAACTAAAATAAAATTGCTCTGACGTTTCTTTCATTCAAATGGAAAAGTAACGAAATGGTAATGAAAGTCAAATATTCTTCTAAAACAAAATATGCTTGTGTTTTGGAATCTACTACTAAAATAATAGGTGAAATATCTGGAACTGTAAAATTGGGGTTCCATATTGGGGTTTATTTTACTATATAAAGATTACGTGACACGCCGCGAGTAATGTTACATTAAAATTGCTGTAGCTATTACAATTATGAATTGTAGCACTCAACTTTTATTCTACATTAACCCTTTGCGGTCTAAAATGCTCTTTGCCTTTCACTTTGAGATTAACATTATTTAATTCAATTACAGCTTAATGTGACCCACTAATCATTTATTCCAGAGTACTTGGAAATGGTACCTTTAAATGGCACAATTGTGGTACTGCAAATAAATGTAGAAAAAATTGTTATAATAAGTAGACGTTATAATTACTAATATAATTACGAAAATTACTAATAGCATTTCTAAAAATTGTCTGAAGAGATAGAAAATTGAATTTATGTAATTTAAGAATTTCATTTGTATATTTTTCAGTTTCTGAGAGATCATCGTTTATTACGTTTACAAAGTGTTAAGCAAGAAAATTTAACGGAAACTGTTCGTCAAACCCGCGGAGAATTTCTCCATATTCCACAATACATCGGAAGGAGAACTTTAGAGATCCGTAATCGTAAGTAGACATATTTTACTGCTACATAAAAATAATATTTCTAGAAATTATAAGAGACAGTATTATTCTAGTTATTTACAAATTAATTATAGTCATTTACAAACCGAACCACGATATGTTGTCAGAAATACTATAATTACGAACAATAACATTCAATTTTTGTTTTATATTAATCTTTTAGCTACTATATGCCACTATAGTGGCTTGCATGAATATCATCTTCTTGAACGGTACGCTACTATAGCGGCTCAATTATTTCTGTGTCATCGATAGCTGTGCATATTACAGTGATGCTCGTTTAATTTCCACAAAATCTGTTCGGTTAAATTCCACTTCACCATTCCTTCTCTTCTTCCCCTACTCACTCACTGTCTCGAGCTCAGTATAACGTAATCCCAGTAGACAGGGATAGAAAATGAATACAACAAGCAGAAACGGTATAGACACAGTCCGTCAGTTATCAAGAGCCGAGTTGTGGGATTTCAGAGCGATGCTGCACGTGATACATATAAAAATGCAATGAAAAAAATTTCAATTACAATAATTTTAACCTTACCTTCTCAATCGTAATACCGATGGAATGTCGATATTCTTCTCATTAAAGTAAACCCAAACGCGACGTAAATCCGTTTAGTATTATCGATTTAGGAGAAATGGAGCTTTAATTTCGTTAATTACATGAAGTCCGTAAAAGTAGCCCGATTTTCATCGTGATTGGATTCATTTTAATCACAACAATCTCAGAAATACACTGGCACTACATTTAAGAAGGTAAGGTTAAAATTACTGCAATTGAAATTTTCTTCGTTGCATGTTTATATTTGACACGTGCGGTGTCGCTTTGAAGTCCCGCGTCTCGACCCTCTATTTTCGACGGACTGTCTATTCCGTTTCCGTTCACTATATTGATTCTCTGCCTTTGCCAGACTGTTCGAATCAATTCCTGGAAGGAAATAGCTTCCTCCTGTTCTTTCTGCTTGGTTAAATACCACTGCTGGACCCGAAATTGTAGAATTTAAGCGAGCATTATTGCATAGTCTAATCTAACGTAATTGTATAACTGAAAATTCTATCACTCTCAAATCGTAGTGCTACATTTATGGTATGCAGACTGTGTCAAACCTTGCCGTACAGAGGTATAACTTGGAGGCTAGTCTCAACGTAGCTAGAAGGTTAAATAGTAGGATTTGTTCTTTCTAACCATGCGAAAAACGGCACCAAATTATACTAAACAGGTCTTATACACACGAAATAGCTGATACAGCCTTATACATTTGTAAATTGTGTTTTACCGCGTTTGAAAGGCAAATGCCCCATAGTGCGACGCAACACCGCCAAGCGGGTGCTCTCAGGGGAGGAATAGTCGATGCAATACACGGATTAAGACCTGTGCCCTCTCAGGTTTAGCTCAAAACACAACACCTGGTCTCTAGGATACACTTTCAAACGATACATATTGATTAAACGTACCCAAAGTTATTGTAAATAGTTTGTAAGATAGTATAGACGAAACATGGTGCATAGTTTGACCGTTCTCCATTATTACAGGAATAAAGAACGCAAAATAATATATTTGAGAGATTACATACTTCGTTACAAGTTTACCTGTGTTTAAAACGTCTCTACGATGCCAACCCCCTTCTTAAAAATGAGAAAGATATTTAACACGTTCCATACCGCATGAATTTCAGTTATATTTTGTTTATAAAGTATATTGATTTTTTAAATAATATATTAAGTGTAGTAGTTCGGACTCTTTTCGCGCGCTGAAATAACGAACAATAGACGCTCAACGATGCTTCTGGAAGGCGTGCATTTTCCATGCTGTAGGAGAACGCCGTATGCGTTTTGCTTTTAATCAGCCGTTGTAACTCACTTTATGTGAACGCTCGAGATGTTGAGCTTCTTTATGTGTACCATGTAACTGTTTAACACTTTCGTTACAATTGGTGACTATAGTCACCCGCCACAAAACGACACCCATACACGACTGATGACTAGTCACCGGCCACAGGAATGGAGCCAAAAGTTAAGACAATATATACTGTAACAAAAATACGTCCATGGAGAAATTATTTGTCGGAAGCTAAAAATCAGCGCAGCACGCTCTTTTATCGAGGACCAAAAGGTCACTTGCGGTGTCACTTCAATAGCGCTGAAAAAGGGAGGCGATCTTCGATCACCACGCATTCCGAAATCGATTGTCAGTCACGTTCCGTCGAAGACCAGCCCAGTATTTTTGATAATACGCTAAATAATTATCACGTAGTGTACTTTTGTTTGTGGAAAAAATCCATCCTGATCCTTCCCAACTTTCGCTTATAATATTTACATTTATTCTGTTACCCTTTCCATTTAATTAATCGCGTACTACATAAGTTGTATTTCGTTTTTGATAACTTTTATATATTTTAATATAATTTCTTTATGTTTCTACTGTTTTGTAACGTGTACTGCTATCCGTGGCCCAATGTTTCATAAAAATATTTTCTTGCAAAAATTACCATGCGCCATATGTGGTGCACGTAGCACTGAACGTGTTAAGTGTTCATTCTTAGTTAAAATGTAGTCTAATAAATAGATTTCTGTAATAGATTCAAATGTTTACAGAAATACGACGAGAAATCAACAGGATGCGTGCAAAAGTTTTTGAGGAATCACGAAGCATGGAAGTAAGCAATTCTGATTTCACTAAAAAATTGGATTCCACAAGACGCATAATGGATTCTGTCACACCTTATGTTACTACATTTGATCAAATCAGGTGGTTTGTAGGTCTTGGTACGTAATGTTTTATAATCACACACGCACTCAGAATTAGTGATTTTTATTTTTTCGCTAATTTTTCGTTTTTTTAACATTCATTGCTAGTGAAAATGAAGAAAATCCAGAGCTAATTGCCAACAATTTTTGACGTCAGAACAGGGACAGAAATAAGAAAATTTGTTTTGAAACATTAGTCTTGTAACGATCTGTTGATTGAAATGAAAAACTTTTCGTTAAAGAACTCGCAAATGGAACAAAGCAGAGGAATAGAATATTTTGAAAGAAAATATTGTAAAAGACGTGAATTCATGTCAACGGCAGCCAGGAGTAAAATTTTAAAAGACGCGAATTCACGTCAGCGAACATAATTGTGGTAATAGTAAAGACTTCGCGCCTTAAAATGAATCTAGTGTACAACTCACTATTGTACAACTCTTTTTCATGAACTTATGTCACTTGAAACTGGAACACTTTTCAAACAAATTGTTTTCATTCTGTAATGTTGAATGCTAGTGCGTATGAAACTTAATTGTGTGAAAGTAACTTTTATTGTATGCTAATGATTTTGAATGGGACAATGTATGGTGTGAATGAGACTATAAGCAATGGATCGATATTTATGCGTTGAAAGGAATAAAGAAGAAAAAAGAAAAAGGTAGAAGATATCGCGTATGAAGAGTATACATTTTGCAGTTGAGATATGTGATATTAACCCTTTGCAGACAAAGACATGTCTTGTATAAATTAAGGGACAGAACTGTTTTATTTCGATGTTTCATATGTTGATACATTATATAAAGATTTAATATTGAATTTTGAATTTTATAATTTTGTTGGGTCAAATTAAATAATGACTGAAAGGCAAATGCAAAAGGTTAACCTTCTGACGGCGGATGCTTTTAACGATGCCATGAGCAGAAATGTGTTGGAATATTCAAATTGTTATTCATGAATTTTTTTAAATACTTTCGAATGTACTTCTATGAGATTCGTTGTTCTTATTGTTTATGTAGTCTGATATAATCAACCGAGAACGCGAGTTAATCATAAATAGGAGAGAAGTTAAATGAAGTCTTTAAAAATGTGGATCAACAAGTTGTAAACAACTTTGAGTTTGTTTTATTAAAATACGTACGTGATTTAATAGATTCCATCTTTAATTGTACGTTATTTTTAATTTAATGTTATTAACTTATAAAGAAGAAATGTGATAATTAAGAAAGTGATATGATCAATGTAATTTGTGTTCATTTGTTGCAGGTACTGTTTTATCCATTCTGCTAATCTGGTTATTATTGTTTGGAGCCACGTGTTGCCAGTACAAATCTGCTCACGATAAAGTGCGGCCTACTTTATTAAGGTACGTATAGTATAAACATTTACTAATTAACTGAAATATTTCTCTTTCAGATGTGATTTTAAAACCAATTCATACAAAATGTTCTCTGTCAAATGACTAAAATTTTGTTCAAATTGAAACACCTCCTGTATGTTTATAATATAAAGTCTTATCATGTTTGGTATAAATTTATGTTAACCTCAAAAGGTTAAGAGGTTATTTACATTTTTTCTGTAGATTTTAGGTTTTCTGTGTGAATTCTTTTTAATTTATCGTTAACTTATATTAACCAACAACTTCGGATGCTGATACCTTGATAACGGATTAAGCGAAAGATTTGATTTCTATGATTTGGAAACCTTTGAATGTGGACTTCAAAAATATGGAATAAAAACTGTAAGGTTCTATTTAACAATTGTGACGTGACTTTTGCAGGACGTTTCAAGGTCACGTGACAGTCAAATACCTCTCACCGTGATATGTAGTATTTCATACCCTGTAACTTTTGTTTGACATATTGGTTAAAAATATCGCGATAAGAGAATTTCATTTTAATTTTAAATCTACTTATTCTCACGTTTTTGCGAAATTATTGGCGAAGATAACAATAACCATTTTGTACGTTCGAATTTCAGGTAATTTTTCAAAGTACATTTCACAAAAAGTAAATGCAATTTGAAAACCCATTTAGTGGGTACTATAATTCTGTATACTATAAAACATTACAACATTTCATAGCACAATTTGCTGTACATTCTTAAAAATACTCCAGCATTTCTCGTCTAATAGTAAATTACTTACAAAATTGATTACTTATTTATGCTTAGAAAAAATGTCATTGATCCTGTGATTTTTATTTTTCAGTGCTGTTTGTATCAGTTGCTTCCTCTCGATTGCAATTTGGGTAGTTTTTGCTGCAACTTTAGTAGTGTCAAGTCACGCTGAGATGTTATTATGTCGCCCGCTTTATGATCCTAATTATCGTGTCCTGGAAGCCATATTAGAAACGAAAACGTTCGTGGGAAGGAGGCTAAGTGTACCACTAAGGGATCTTTTTACGTAAGTATAACTAATTGGTACGTGTTACGAATGATAAGAACTACGATGGTACATAACTTTGTAATCGTTTATATTGCAGCAGCGTACTGTTTGCAGTTATGAAAACATTATCCTATAGCTTGCAGATGTCAGGGTTTAAGCATGAAAACCTTCCTTGATATCTGTAAGCTGGAAATTAAGAATTATTTTATTCGATAATTTCAAAGGCAAAAATAAATGTGGGCATCGCATGGTTTATAAAAGAATTCAAACGAACCCCAAATCTTGAAATCTTTAATATCTTTAATTTTATTCATATTTATGTTACTGAAGAAGAAAGAATTCATTCAGACATTACAAAAATTAATTTTTCAATTTCTTAATATTCTGATTTTAAGAGTCTGATTATGTATAATGTGTGATACAACAATTAAGAGTAAAAAGTATTAACTGTTTCATCGGAAAACTGACGGATCAGTTGACGAAGTAACATGGTAATACTTATTTCTCTCTGGAAATTATTGTGTAGAATATGATCATTCCATGATCTAAAAATAAATTTTATTTTTCATCACATTTCTTGGTAAACAAGTAAGACAACTCGGGACGAAATTTAAGAATACCAAGTACAAAATAGATACTATAATACTTTAACCGTCAAGTAAATTGCAGTCGAAACAATTTTCTTAATAAAGTGGAAATTAAAAAGTCAAGATTGTTCATAATGATTACTCTACTATCTTTCTTATATCTCATATATCGAACAAAATTCGGTTCGAAAAATAGTTAGCAACAGAGTTAGTTGATAAGAAAGTTTCGTCAAGCGTAATCGGCACGTTATTTTTTAATAGACGAACGTCAAACTTTACATTTCAAGCATAGAGGATCCTGGAAGCGTATCAAACATAATTTCTTTCATAATACTATTTAACGATTAATATATTTATTTTAAATATTGCCAAAAATAATTTTTTTAAAGTCATTCTTTATTTAATTATATAACTATTAATATGTATATATTAATTATTATTATTAAATATATAATAATTATTATTATTTTACTTCTTAATCAAAACTGTATTCACTTTTTTGTGATAATTATTTAGTGCATCAACCTATGCAATTATCAACTTATTTATGAAATATTTCATAGTGTAAACTACTTTCATTAATAACATATAATTACAGGAAATGTCGAGAGAATGAAGCGGTTTATCCTAGCATCGGACTGGGAAACTCAATGAAATTAGAACAATTAACAGCCTATTGGACTTGGTCCAGATTCAATAAAATCTTGATAAAGCTTAGAGTCGAATTGAAGTCTTTAAAAGTATCCACACCAAACCTTCAACAGCAACTACAGAATCTACTATATGCTTACGGATTAAATTTAACTGAACATAGAATTATGGTAACGTCATCCTCACATCTCTGAACACATTATTAACCGGCAATTTTACATAGAAACTATCTCATATCACCGGTTATTTTTCTGTAATTAAATACGGAAGTGAAACAATCTAAATAAACTTCAATAGACTTTGTTTATACATAATGAATTAAAATGAAACTTTGGACATATCTTTTATAGAACTTTGAATATTTAACCGGTCAATAATGTGTTAAGTTATGATCAGACATAATCTAATAAACACATAAATTTGTAAATAACATGTAAACATAGTTATAGAATATAATTTTTCATGCATTGTAGTTTATCTGGAATACAGAAATGGGCAAACGCCAAATGACATCCTACTCTGGATAATCATTCAAATGTTGTTATATCTGTGACCTCTTACACGCGCCACTAAAGGACTATGAACTGTTCAGTTTTCCCACTTTTACTCACAGTCAGACCTTCCTACAGTGAGTTACTCACATGAGCCAAGTCGTCAGTGGCTTAAAATTGAAGAGGGGCAAGGGGAGACGACCACTCGCAGCCCTCGGCCCGATAGTAATGGCGGAATTAGTTTCGGCACGTCTTTGTTACTGACCGAGGCCTGAGCGTCGTAAGTGGAAGTCCCCTTGCCCCTTTTCACTTTTGATCCACTGGTCGGCTTGGCTAACATGAGTAACGTACAGTATATACTGTGGAGGTCTCACGTTAGTCAAGCCGATGTATGGTTCAAAAGTGAAGAAGGTCAAAGGGACTCTTCCACTTATAACACTCAGGACTTAGCACCAGTAATGACCATGCGTCCAAAAGCCGTGCGTTGTCAGTGAAAAAGTCTCCTTGCCTCTCTTCATTTTTGAACTAAAGGTCAGATTGGCTAACAGGGGACTTCCACAGTACTAACTATCCTACTATACGCCTTTCACGTTAACTCCATCGACCACCAAGCTAAAAATGCACAGAGGCAAGGGGACTCTTCCACTCACGAAGCTCGGATCGCCCTGGCTTTCGACGCCTGATCATTATTGGCACGTGGTAATAACAAAGAACGGAAGCAAGACCGAATGCAACGGAGTGAGACAGAACTATAGAGGATTTTGCTTTCTGAAGTTACGTCTCACTTCATCGCGTTCAGTCTCTCTTCCGTCCTTTACGTACGTCTCGAGCATCATAAATGGAAGAGTCCCTTTGGAGCTAACGTGAAAAGCTAATAGTACTTACTATCCTTACATCTAAAACAGGGATCTACTAGAAAACCATGCTAACGATTCTCCTATTAGGTACCAGTCGAAGTTCGTGCGGTGTTCGTGTTAGCTATGAATTGGTGTCCGATTTTAATTAGTATTTCACTAGTTTAAAGAATGAAATTGGTATCAACAACAAGTTATGTTTATATCGTTGGTATCAAACAAAATAAAATAATTTTGCAAATAACGGTTTCTGTGTTTAAATTTTGACTTAAAAATCCTCACGAACTTTTTTCGATACCTAATATGTAAATATTTATTTATCATGGGATTTTACAGTACACTCGTTGTCAATATTCTTATTTGCTATTTTAAGCGTGTAATTTGGTAATACATCCTATTTAACTAGTGTACGGAGACTTAAAAACATAATTGGTATTTTATTCTGAAAAGGTTTAGTCATTACAATTACCATAAAGTATTAATATGTATGCATCAATTAATAAAATACCATTTATGTAGAAGTGTAGCTTCCCACTTACAATAACTATTCATTTTCAGTTTTTAATATTCCTATGTATTATTTGCTTTTAGATTCAAGGACCAATTCTGAATAAGGATTTGGAAGCTCTAGCAGACCAGGTAGAAAAAGTAGCTCGACAAATGCATGATAAGTTAACAGCTAGAAGTTTAGAAACCATTGCAATGACGATACAAGATTTAAGTTTAACAAGGTTAAAACCACTAATGGTAATACGGGATGAATTAGTATATAAACTTGCTGGTCTGGAATTACAAGTTTCTCAACTTCAACGACAAGTCGAGCAAACAATTTATCATGTTAAGACTACTCAAATGTATATTGAAAATCAAGGAGATAAAATGGCTGAATTGGTATGAATCATTTATTCAGTAATTGTATTAAATTTAAGCTAAAAAAGTAAATAAATTATTTTTAAACAACATTACTTATACATTACAGGCTATACTATAGCTATTTCATGTACACAATGTTTACATACTATTCTTATGAAACACGTCAACTGTACCTTGTATGCGTGAATAATTGCCATTCACAGTCATCGGATAGTTATTATAACGATACCGGAAATTTCGATTAACAAACAACAGCAAAAACTTTTTGGAATACCTAATATTACGTAAACAAATATCTTTTAAAATCTTTTAAATTCCTCATTTCGAGAAAAACAAGTTAAACAAACATTTCCTTTCTACACTCCTTAGTTTCAGAGATCTTTAAAAAAATCTATTTTCAAGCCTCAATTTTGAGGGGCGTTTTCACTCCTTCAATATGGACTTTGGACAGCAAGAAAAAATGCACGTTAAATATTCTTTCGAGTGCTATGTCTCACATAAGTTCATCGAAATTGACATGTGCGGGTTAAAAAGATTTCCTCATTAGTAAGAGGAACGTTAATAAAGATTCACTAATTTGATGAAAGGAGTAGTTAAACATTCCTGCTCTAAGTGGTTGCTAACTTTGCCCTGCCACCGCAAATATTTGTATTTATTTACACACTGTTGGCAACGCTACAAGTGATCGAAAATGATAGGGTGATTATGTAATTCTCGAATTATATGGCAAAAATTTATATTAGTCGTCTTGCATATTTTACTCTTCATCGGTGATATGAACCAGATAGTCCTAAGGGGCCTAAAAAAATGGAATTCATTTCTGCGTTATAGAAAATTTCAAGTTAATACTTTGTTAATACTAGTTAAATGTTATCAAAATGTTAAGAAATTTATGGTGACTAAAATTACAGTCTCTCAATTTTACGACTCAGTATATAATGATTCAAAATCAATTCAGGCTGTTAGCTACGTTTAGAATATTCTAAAGTTATTAATTTTTCTAAAACATTAATTTTAATATTATGTCATATGTTTCTAGAATTTTTCAACGGTCTAACAATGTACACCATCCCTACAATATAAATACACATGTATGTCATGGGGGTGTTTCTATATAATGTTATTTCTTTAACATAGTCAATTCTCGTTAAATAATGAATAATTACATTTTCACAGACTTCCACTATCTTATGTAAACACTATAATATTTTGAAATATCTTACTATTATTGCAAAAAATATAACGAAGATTTTACACTTGCTTCAAACTATACTTCACCTAAAATACTTCTGTGTGTTACTTTCGTAATATAGTGTAATGAGATCTTGATAAATGTAATATTTATAATATTATCCTACTTTCTACACAGAAGACGAAGATATATATTGAGCGATTAAACAATTATTTGGATCAATGGAGGTCACATGTATTATCCGAGACACAGAATGGTGTATCGAAATGTCGACCACTTTGGGAGATTCTCGAAGGAATTAGGCTTTTACTGTGCAGCCATTTTTTGGGCAATATGGTATGTACATACTGATATCGTAAAATAAAATTTGTAAGTAGAAATATTTTGTAAAAATGTTGTTACTTATACATAGAATTCAATTTGAATTTCAGTGTGGACAGTGGTTTGCAACGTTTTTATGTGCTATTGTTATGATGGCCAGTACACCAGCAGCTCATATCCTGTCATTAGTTCATAGACAACTCCCACCTTTCTCGATGAAGAATGACGATTTACCTAACCGATCGTAAGTTCAAGTATTTTATATCTAAAACCAGGTAACTTTATGACAGTGATACTTTCTTCTGTTGTAGTTGTAGTATCTATTTTTGTAATGTACTTAACTATATAAAAGTTAATCTCTACAGGCAGCATTCGTACCTGCTAAATATTTTTGAAATTTTCGGTGAATCATTTGAATCATTGCTGTACAACTGCGTTAGTGAATCTTAATCTAATCAATGTGCACTTATGTACACTTTATTATTAATTTGTTATATATTTTCAGAGATGTTTCTCAACCTGCTGCCGCTGGAGATGATAATTGGCATACACCTGAGTAATTATACGTTCTAGGAAATTTTTAACTCAATCAACATGTTATACTATTAATGATAAGAATATGTAGATACAAATTATACAAGGATTTAAGCCAAAATAAAAAGAACCATTCACGAGTACTATTGCATACTAAAGATATTTTATGTGAACAGTTTTATCTTGTGTTCAATACAAACAAGTAAAAGTAGGTGTGGAGAGAGTAACTTTTCGTGTTAGAAGTGTCACTAGATACACGATTTAGACACACTTGATCTAGAGAACTTACTAAACTTTAACGTCTTTTTCTATCATAACCATATAATTAATGTATTAAACATAATAAGATGTACATGTACGTTAAAAATTTCTAAGCCACCTATACTCAAATACACACACATGTTACATGTGTCTATGCATACATGTTCAAACCATACCCATTAATGTAAATTACATGAAAACTGAAATGAAAACAAAACAAAATAAAGATAGCAAATTATTTTGCATACGTAATATAAACACATATTATAAAATTAATATCTTTTCTTTCTGTTAAACTACCCTTCTGAAAATATTAAATATAGTATCTTTCATATACGCATGAACTATACATTCTTACTGAATCTTGGAAAAGCTTTATTAGTGTGTTCAAACTTTTTTAATGTTCTATTGACTTCATTATGCAATTTATAGCGTGTTTGGACTTGATATCATCAGAAAAATAGTTCCCATCGATTTTTGATCTTTCCGAATTTATGTTGTTAATGATAAAAGAATTTTTTTTACCTAGAAAATGTCAGTTAGCTCTGCCTTTCATATTGACCTACAGTCGTTATCTGAAGAAAAACAACATTAATTTTGGAAAATTTCTTTTTTCATTTCAGTATAATATATAATCCTTCCAATACAATAAATAATTCTTGCCTTTCTGTGCATACTATATCATGCATATTGCGGTAAGAATTGTTTCTGCAAATCTCCCCTTTTGACTGGTAGTGACATCCGTGACGAAATGCTCAAACTGGTAGACAAATGTTACCGGTTTGGGAGTTCACGCGGCGCAACTGTGGCATTATCCATGGTAAAATAATCCAACTGTTAGACAGCAAAGTTTGAGTAATTCACGGGAGATGGAGCTACCTTATCGTCGCGAACACAAGTTTCCTACAATATCATCGAGTCCAAATGATTAAACAAGGTATAATTTTTTATGGCAGGGTCGACAACGGCGACCTTTACCTAGAAGTGGAGCAGTCTCGACAGCACAGAGCTCAGTTTATCGCGAACTCTAGAAGTGAGAGAACCGAGGTCCTTCGTCGCGTACTAGTAGCCGTTTCTGAGGTCGCCTGGATTTTTCTGGACCTCCTTAGTTCTTCCTGGATTTTCCTGACCAGCAGTGATTTGCTATTATCTCCACCCTTGCTCACTACTGACCAATTGAGATCAATGCAGATCCATGCTGACCAGAACTGATCAGTGGGGTCCCCAGCATTAATCTGAGCTATGTACCGATTGCGAACAGCGATCGATGAGTCGAATGTTTTTTTTCACTACGGTCTCCCATCATGTTATAGGACGAAAGGTCCGTAACAATACCGATGATTGGTGATACCATTTAAATAGTTTTTGATTTTGTGAGTGCAGTGGCCTTCGAATATGCTTGTGGAGTATACCCGAGAGTAATAGTACTTTTTGGTTTATTTGTTAGATAGGATAGGATTTTTTTGCACTTAGTTAAGTACTAGCAACAATGCTTCAATTTTTTATCCAATTACGAGCAGAGTAACTTTATCTTGTAGTTTCATATAGAAATATAATGCAACCTTTATAATTGAATATTGAGATAATGTAACTGAAAACGTAGTGGTACATTAATAGTATTAGTAGGTTCAGTCTAGTTTTTGATTTTCAATTTGAATTTCACAACCGATTAAAATTGTATCTCAATCGAACTACTTCGTAATACCTTTTGTTGGCATTAAAGACAATTGCTTTAACAGTGGGGTCACCTGGGGGTTTTCAAAATTTATTAAATATTTAAAATAGATTCATTCTTATTGAAATTTTATTTAAAGTCTCCTTTTCCATTAAATATCAATTTCTCTTATTCTTTTCTCGAATATCGAAATAATTATATATTAGTACATCTTTCATTTCTAAAGTTAAAGAATTAAATTCTTAATTTCGAGTAATTATAGTCACTGTTGAGAATCAAAGAACATTAGACCGTTAGAAAAATTGCGTTAAGGCAAGGATGTTTAAATTGGTGCCTACTCGATTGATCACTAACCCGCTAGTGACACTCCCCTCACAAAAAGTTACTCTGTCCATGCCTACTTTTACCTAATTGCATTGAATACTATATAGAACCGCTCCATAAACGGTCTCGGGCAGCTCCTTAAGTAGAGGTAGTGGGGGAACGTTGTTTCCGAGTTACTAGCGTGAGGGGAGTAAGTTAGACACCTCTGCGTTAAGGAACCAAAATTTCATGTGTCCCCCAATAACAAGATGGCTTCACTAACGCCATTGTGTGTCCAGTTTGTATATTTACGTTTCAATATGTATGAAAAAATTGTGCTACTATAAGAGTGTGTAACAAAAATTTCATAAATATTGTAAATTAGAGTAAATCTTTATTTTCTTTTAAAGGAGGTGATTAAATTATCGAGGCAACATAAAAAATAATTCACCTCTTAGAGTTAATGTACTATGAACCGTTTGGATGATCCCCCGGGTCTCATGAAAGGCAGAAAACCATCTTTCATTGGAATGAACGGTATTTTTTATATAATTTAAAAAATTTTCTTTATGTTTTAAGCATTATATATTAATATGTCTAACATGTATTAATATAATTATTTAACATATATTAGAAAATATAATTCTTATTTTATATTCTTGATATAATTTTTCTACATTGTATTATATTATTCTTTAATGTATAGATAAACAATAAAGCGTTTATAAAAATTATATTTACATTTTTTTTATTTAGTTGAATATTTCATTCAATGCATTTATGTTCCAGAGATTGTTTCCATGTACATTAGATTTGTTATGTGTTACTTATCTACTTATTATGTTTTTATATATGTCAGAATAATGTACAAGTACATTAAATTTGTGTTGTTTATGATATACTTTAACATTTTATTTTATTTTATAGTAGTTTTTATACATTGTCATGTTCACATAAATGTAGATTTATTCGACAATGTAATTATATTTATATCTGTATGTATATTAAATGCTTTAAAATGTAAACAGATAAATTTGTTCCACAAATTGTAATAATATCTATAACGGAGAAATTATAATTTGAAAGAATTAAAAGAAATTTGGAATTCAATGCCAGATCTGAAGGATTAATTTATAATGAATTTTTTATTGATATTAGTACTGCATCTTTTATAATAAGTAATAATAAAAGTTTATTAAAAAATTAACATCAATAATAGCTTGTTAAAAACTGATTTAAACATTACATAATATCAGATAGGACATGAAACATATATTTTTAAGTCATGGTATCTTATAGCCAAAAACAAATCATTTTCTAGGTGGCCCAGAAACAGACGATCAGCAGCGCTTACGATTTCAGGTTGAACTTGAATTTGTTCAATGCCTCGCCAATCCAAACTACTTAAATTGTATGTCTTTTAGTAGCCTGTAGTTAGTTTATAACCTAAGTCAAATATATTAACAATTGTTATTATAGTTCTAGCACAACGTGGATACTTTAAGGATTCAACATTTATAAATTACCTTAAATACCTGTTATATTGGAAAGAACCCGAGTATGCCAAGTACTTGAAATACCCTATGTGCTTGTACTTCTTAGACTTATTGCAATACGAACACTTCAGAAGAGAAGTAGTAAACTCTCAATGTACCAAATTTATAGACGATCAACAAATATTGTTATGGCAACATTATACCAGACGTAGGACAAGATTGTTGCAGGCTGCAGCAGAGCAAACGCAACATGTGAATCCTCAGAACAATGGTATTGTACAACCTAAAGTTCCTTGAATAATATATGACCAAAGAAAATACACAGTTAAGTGGGTCCATAAAAGTTACGTCAGACAAAATGTTGCTGCATAGGAGTATTTCTATAGATCCTTACCATAATTGTTTTGTTAGTTATGTTTTTTGGCTGTGATAAACTGCTAATAAAGTACTTTTCTATGTTCATTACATATGTGTAATTACGCTTCTCCCTCTTTTCCTTCTATCTATTTTTTGTATTTAATTTACAAAAATTTAACAGTAATAAACTCTAATACTATCCATTACCTCGTCGAACAGTTTATAAAATATATTTTTATAATTACAGAAAAAATAATACAAACAAATAATCATAGTATTGTACAAATAAAAGTATTAATATATACCAAGTTTAAACAAAAGTGTATTCCTTATGCATCAGTAGAAACAAATTGATATAAAGACACTCCAATTGTAGAATCTGATTTTGGACGAGTGATGCTGAAACCTGAATAGCTGTTCATAAATGTTTATCACTGTTTATGCTTCAAGACAATGGAAACAGTGGAACACTATTGAAGACATGGGTAGAAGATACAGATTTTATTGGCCATAGTAAGTTTACCATCTTTATTTTGTTATAAAATTTAACTTTCAAATAATGTGTATAAATATAATATTCCCAATGGTATTTTTTTTTAACCCTTTTCTTGTTTATTTATACAGGGTGTTTTATTTAAATGGATACGCTTGAATATCTCATAGATCATTGAAAATATAAAGGTCATTGTTATTAAAGTTGTTTGCTATGAAGGGAGACATTGTGCGAGGACAACAATTTTTTTTTGTATAATGTTAAAGAGATTTCAACATTTGTTAAGAAAAATACAATATATATAAAATCATTGAATATAATACGTTATAATTTAACGGATTCCTAAGTCAAATCACTGTGAATAATAGATTATCAATTAGCTAAACCTACTTCTTTTGATTTCAGTCTTTAAGAGTGAATTAAACAACGAAATTTAATTATTGTATTTTTTAAATTAATAACATAAAGAAGAATTCGTCTTCGCCAAAAAGTATGCACCCTCACACAATGAAGCTTCTGTCAAACATTTTTTTCGTATTTTTAATATTTTAAGAAATATTCGTTTATTACCTTTAAGCATGGACACACTGTATATATGAAAGAAATGTTTATCATTTTTTTTTAATGTGGTTGATGAAATAAAAAGTATATTTACATGATAATGGTTAATAATTTATATATAAGAATATTTTTTACAATTCTTGGTCCTCATATTTAAATATTATTGCGATTTCTTTGGTTTTTATTGTATGTACAATTATTGATTTTGTAAACATCATCAATTTTCCATGAAAAGTTACTTAAGTACTTCTTAATCATTATGTTTTATTTAAAATTAATTACACGGATACTACAAATCTATTTGCTAGACAATATAAATGATAATGTATTTATGATCTGAATGTACGAAAAACTGAGCGAAATACGATTTAATATTATTTTTGGGTTTCGAATACAAATACATATGTGCTTCCCAAATTTAAAATCAAACATATTTTTTATTTGATAAGGCAGTGACTACTAATCATATTATGAAAATTATCTAACTAACTTTTAATACTGCAAACATAATAAACAATAAATATTGATACGCCAAAATGATAAAAAAATGTATGTTACATACCTATTAATAATTAAAAATAATCAATAAAGATCACGTTCTAATACTAAGATACTATATATAAAGAAACCCAAAATATTACTGCGATTCAGTTATGACTATATTAAAATGTTATAAAAAAGGAATTTGTATTATAAATATTATCGATCTTATTTCCCAATATTTCAAGATATTATCAACAATATCAATTATTCATTGTTCATGACGTTCAGTTATTGGGAATAAGTCTTCACAAAAATAGAAGTTTGATACTTTCATTTAACCCGTTTATATTTCATTCTAAGACTCAGTGTTTTTACTATCTGCAAAATTAACCAATATACCATTTCCAGCATCTACCCAATCCTCCGAAAAAAGTTTCGTTCGAAGTATTTCTCTTTCTGATAAATCTTCCTTCTTCGGTGTACTTTCATTGCTTAAATTTGCATTATTTTCCTTCTCTCTCTTTCTAACCATCAACAATTCTGAATCGTCAATAGTATCAGGTAAAATTGTGCCCAGAGTTTCCGGTAGAATTAGAGCAAGACCTCCAGATACTAAGCAAAGCATTCCTATGACAATTAAAGGAATGGTGACTGGAATGTATTCGCCCTAGAACAAACAAAATAATCGAATCTTTATTAGTTAAATATATTTAAATATACAGTTTCATTTCTTATGAAATTAAATCAGATTTAAATAAAAAATAGAAAAATTATCATAACATTGTTAGCATTAATTAGCAATTACAGTATATTATATGAAGTGTGTTCGTATAAAATTTATGTACTTAGTAGTTAGTGCGTAAGGCAAAGAATCACTGAAAGTAGAATATAAAAATGAAACAGCAAAAATCAAGTCATGTCTCAATTTTTTGTTAATTTAATGATGAGTTTTACTTGAAATGAATTTTGTAATTATAGATATACAATTCTTACCGATAATAATATGTGTGGTGTACACAAGCTGCCAATTTTGGCGAAAACTGTGCACAATCCTAAAAAGGTTCCCCGCACAACGGTCGGGTAGATCTCGATTGTATATAAATATGTTATGCAGACAGTACTTATTGCTGTTACTCTGCCGAGTGACAGTATAATGGTCTTCGTGAGGTCTAAAAAATAAAAAAATATCATATTTCAAAAACAATTAAATTTGTTTCTACACGATTAAAATTATACTTTACAATGTTACTTCTCAAAAGATTAATAACTGTTTCTGTTATAATTAAATGTAAATGATAAAAAAAGAAAAATCATAATAACTTTGAAAATAACTAAATTTTTTTCTGCACGATTAAAATAAAAATTTATCGTGTTACGTCTCAAAAAATTAATTACTGTTTCTGTTGTAATTGAATGTTAATGATAAAATGACAATTAAAATATATGAGCATAGTAGATATTTTCTGATAGGATTCTGCAAAATGGTATTTGTTATGTTGCCAACGTACCCATTCCAATCATAGGTTTCGTCAAAATGATTACAGCTGCCATTAAGATACAAATGATGCCATTAAGAGACTGATATGCAGTCATAGGTACTCGTCTACCGTATCTGGATAATATAAAATAGACGAATACGTAAGTTGCAATTTCTAATGCACCGCCAAGTGCAAATGTCACGTGACGATTGACGGGAAAATTGGGTACCAATGTCATAAATACGCAACATGCCACGGAAGATGTCAACCTTTAAAAAATAGAAAATAATATTAGGTACTACTATATAAAAAAGGATAATATTACTATTGTTCATAATTTTTTATATTTTCTGATTTTTGTAAATTTTAATGGAATAAACAATATTTTTTTTAGTTATTAAAAGATTTACTCGTTTCTTAGTTTTTTCTATGCCAAAAAGGCCAGGAAGTCCTTTTTTATAGCTTTTGAATATGTTAATAATAATTTCAAAGGCTAAAACATTAATTTTCTCAATTTTTGTTTTCTAGACTTAACTGCATTGGCTTCTGAGTAACTCAATTAATGAAAGGTCAACATTATTTTTTATAAAAATTTAATTAGATCTTATAAACTTCAATTTTATGAATATATATTTTCTATGAATTAATATTTTCTTTCATTAATTTGAAAATCCAATTTTCATCACTTTTAGTTATAAATAACTCTACTTTCCATTCATACCTGCTTCGTATGGAACAGATAAATTTTTGTTCTTACCATTGGCAAAACAATACTGCACTATACTTTCTCAACAGCATAGACTTGAACAGATTCTTCAATTCTCGTTCCGGTTGCACGCTATTGAATTTTTCTTCAACTTTATTCCCAGCCAGCTCCTCATCTCTAGTTAACATGTCTTTTTTTGCAGGAGTTCTTAGCTCGACGATGTCGTATGCACTTTTCGCGGAAAGTCGTTGACTATCGGCTGGTTGGGATATAGATTTTAATTTTCGATGGGTTTTTGAGCTGGTGGGAACGTTTTTCTCTGTTTCACCATTCTCACAGGGAAGAGAGTTTGACATTGATTTCGTTTTGGGAAGCTTGATTTCAAGATTATCTGAAATTGCTCTCAAACTCGTTTCTGAAAAATATGCGTAAAATGAAATTCAAATATTCATTTTCAAATGTACATCATAATTTATTTTGAAATATTCAAAGAATGGAAAATGTAGGATTTACAATAAAAACAAATGATAAACCTTTTACCTTTAAAAATCTACGAATTAAATTCAAGTTATTTGAAAATTTAAAAAATTCAGTTCAGATCAAAATTAAATTTAATACAAGTTTGTTGCTTATGTCAAACATGTAGAAAAATTCCTTTCAACTTTCGTTGGAAAGCGTAAATTTAAGATTGAACATTATTTTTGAGTCATTTGTGAACATGTCAAATTAAAAATACGTATTTTTATTTTGTTTTGAATTTTTTACTATGTTTTCCTTACTTCGAACGTTTTGTTCAATATTTTCTGCGTTATTAGTTAGCAAAGTGGTAGCTTCCTCTTTCAATTCGGTATCCGATTTCAATTTTTTCAAGTCGGACGATGATATACGTGACTTCCTTTCAGGTTTGATCGGTGTCGTGTTTTCAGGAACGATTTCTTCCGTTGTATCTCTTCTTCTTCGTAATTTCATGCAGCAAACATTGTACTTCGCGATACGTTCCAATGCCATATCCGCTTCTGTGATCTTGCCCTTTGCGATCAGCCATCTTGGTGATTCCGGTACGATCCTAAAAATGCAATGAATTATTACTTTCAGTTTTACAGTATCTGCATTTCATTCAAAAAAATATCCAAGTTTTAATTGTTTCTATTATTTGCACTTTAATATAGAAGACAAATAAAATTAATAAGATTTCACTCTATTTTATTTATATAAATTAATATTAAAATTCGATAATATTCCTTAATAAATATATATATATATATATATGTATATGTATATCTGCAAGAATTGAAAATGTTATTATACGATCGATTTGTTAACAAAAGTTTAATTACCAAATATAAAGTACGGTAATTGCAGTGGGAACCGAGACGGCTAGCTGTAAAATTCTCCAATCCGTTATGACATAACTAAGTGCAGCCAGAAGCAGTAGGCCGATGGCCCACGCAATTTGCATAATTAATGCAACGAATGTCCGAGCTTTCGCAGGAAACAATTCCAAAGAAAGAATATACGTAGAATTTTGTAGACCCTGAACAAAAACTCCTTGCAGTCCGCGAAGGGCCAAGAACGTGGGATAATTCTGAAATAGACATTCAATTTTATGCAGGAAAACGAGCCATTGTTATTCATTAGGTACATCTTTCTTTCAAATTTTATAATCCCTAAATTTATTCATACAAACGTAATCTTAATCTTCGTGTTAAAAATACAGACAGCAAAAGTAACAAGAAGAAATGCCTATTGCAAATATTTCTATAAATATGTTAATAAATTAATGAGACACCAATAAATTAACTCATTAATATAATAAGTGGTAGTTTGACTATTTAATTTTTTCATTTATTTTAACCCTTTGCGGTTGAATGTCGTCGTAATGACGATTTCGAGATTTCATATCTAAAATTGGAAGTTTCAAGTAAATAATATAATTCTTCAAATAATGAAGAGAGATACGTGGTATGTTTCTAATATTTAAGATTGCAATACATAATTCAATTTTTTATGGACAGAGTTTTTAAAGATTTGAGAAGTTCTCGCCGACAATGGGTTAACATTAGTTTGTATATTCATGGTGTTCTTAATTTAAAAAATTGTGAAGATTTTTGTACCTGTACAACATATAGTGCAACAGCCATGGTCCCCTGAGTGTAAAGACAAATGGCTTGAACGGGTAGTCTGCCGATACGATCACCCAAAAGACCTGCGATCCAGGCACCCATCAAAACTCCCACATAATAAACCGTGGGCCCAAGAAATGTCAAATATCGCTTTTCACAAATTAAACCCCACTCTGTTACCACGCTGTTTTCTCCAAACTCAGTAGCGAATTGATAATCGCCGAAACATAGATCCGAATCGGAAAAATCTTCGAAACCGGAAGTCTCATTGCCTGCTAGAGTCACGTTGGCCAATTCTTGGCACCCATATGCTCGTTTCGTTCCATTTCTTACCTGAAATAGCAAAATCGGTCTCCAATTTTTTATCTAATCTAGCTGACAAAGATATTTTACAAAAATAAAAAATATATAGCAATTACACTTCTTAAAAATGGTGACTAATTCGATAACTTCCATTGAATACATCGTTGCAAGGAACGTAATAAAATAAATAAACTAATACTATATTGGAAAAATTATTAATTAAGTGTGTAAACATCCAAAGGATATAAAGAACATGCATATAAATAAAGTACATACATATAAAATGTGAAAATAGTGTTTTAAGTATATCAATATTCACAACATTAACTCGAAAAGAAAAGAAAATAAAAATAATCGCGTTTCATTTTGTTCATAACATGAAATAATCTAAGATTATTATACACATTTTTAATGAAAAGATGAAAATAGTGTTTCTTATCAAATAGTAACAATTTGGGCTTAGGAAGCTCACCTGACAATAGAACTTCGGCGTGTAATTATGAAAAACCGGTAACGCGTGGCTCATAGCGACAATGACATAGTTAACAGCCAAAAGTAGCACGATCACCGTTTGGAAGCAGCCAACTTTGACCTCCTCGGCATTCATTTTTCACAATATCTTCAGTGTCACACTGGTTTTCCCGACAAACGATCTTCACGAAACAATTAGCACTAAAGGGATTCACAGTCTAAGACTGAAAGTCCATCCAGGGAAAACGGGGAAGAAAACCGTCGAAGTAACTAAATCACTCACGTGAACCCACACACCCATTTGTGTTTCAAGGAAATATTTTAACACTGTCGATCACGGTAGAAAAAAGGTTTAATTGAATTAAGAGTATGGCGTATACGTTAGGAAACATTCGTTCAGTGCATTTCACTTGGAAGCGTTGGGAACCGATGCAAATTTACCACTGCAAGTAAAAGTTGTCGGAGAGCTCGGACAAACTGTCATCGGTGAGGGTGAAGCGCACACTAACAGAGAGGAAGAGTCTTCTCTCTGTCGAAGGATAGCTATGAAAAGAGGAACCGATTCCTGGCGGCGCTGGGACCGACGAGGACGGACGCCGGTACTATTGTTTCTCGGTTAGCGACACGTATCCCATTAACGCACCCACGTCACGGGAAAACGATCTTCTGTCAATGATAATCGATTTTTAAATTGACGTAACACGAGTTCTTTATATTTATGAAACGCGGAATTTCGCGGCTAAACTTCGTAGCGATCGTGTAAAAACAACCGTTGTGGATTTTTCTAGCTGTTTGTGATTGTTTTCATTTTGTAGAGATATATATTTTTTTTAAATTACGAACACATTACAATGATGTGGTATGGAATGATTGGATATCGTAATTGGTAGAAATGAAAAGAAACATTAGAAAGTTTTGTTTTTTTAAGAGTCTATGTATTTTTTAAATAGTTATCGAAATTGAAAATGATAAAAAATTTTAATTTGTATATGAAGCTTCAATATGATAAGGAAAGCTGTGGTATTGCATCTTCGTTTTCATTTTTATTGGAGAATATTGAGTCAATTATTTTTTAAATAAAATAACTTGTCAAGGTTTTTGGTTATTTCAAATTGTCTATGAAATATGGGGTTGTATTGTACAAGGTAAAGTGTAAAATTGGTAATTTTCCGAATTTATAGTTTTCCTATCTTAAAATGTTTCTTAGTTATCAGAAGCTAACTGAAATATAACAGAACGACAAGATTCATTGAGACACTATACGCGTGTATCAAAATGTAGTAACTCGAGTAACAGTCTGAATAGGTCTATGAACTCTCGACGTGCATTTACTTCATTTTCTACCCACCTGCGTTTGCAACAGAAAGTCCCATTGACAGGTATTGATCGTTTCGTTTTACTGAATCTTTAGTTCCAATGAGAATCCTTGTCCAAAGTGACAGTTCAGTGTTCTGATTGTAATAGTTCTTGTCTAACAGAAAGTTCTGTTGACGAAACTTTCATCATTTTCTTACTCGATAACTTAACACATTCGCAAGTTTTTCGCTTTACTAATAGTCATTATCGGTAAAAATGAACAAGATCTTAAACTAATTGCAAATTTCTGAAGTTAAAACAGGTATAAAAATTAGTAAACTTTTGAAATATTAATCTTATAACGATCTGTTGTTTAAACTAAACAACTTTTAATTGAAGAAGTCGCAAATGGAAAAGAGCAGATGAATCAAATATTTTGAAAGTTATATTTGAAAAGATATAATTGATATTAGCGACAACCACGGATAGAATTTGAAAAGACAATTGAGGTCAATAGTCACAAATGTGTTAAGAAAAGTTCTACTAAATAATTTACCAATTATGTCCATAGTCTATTAACGCATTTTACTGAACATAATATCGTTTAGCAGCCTGTGGCATCAAATTTTTCATGAGAACGTAATTTGCACTGTACATAGATAAGATTAACATCAGAATTACCGATTAATTAAAATGACTTTTTGAAATGCCTCTTTAGAAACTTCAAGAGTATATCTATTGAGACTTTAATTGATTTATAATTCTGTTTGCGCATTGCTAAATGTTAAAGCAGTTTCTTTAATAATTTCTTACAGAAACATTTGTTATCTTTTTAATTATTGCAAAATGAAGAAATCAGCAATGGGTCATTTTGACTCGTCTGGTAGTTTTAGTGTTAAAAGCGAGAAGGGGAAAGTTAGCTTCGCAGGAAGAAATGCCTTAAAGAAACGTTTGTCAGGTAGTAAAAAACTTTGTCGATGACGTTTTCTCGCCATACCATACTTAGGTCACGATAATCTTGATGGAGGGGTACGATCATTGTAGTCCAGCGACGGTGTTTCCTTCGTTTCTGGAACTGTTTCTGTATGCGGCGAACATCACGTCCGGTCCCGGGTGCATCCTGCCTTTCATTAGAACCACCACAAGTTGGTTCGATCGCCGATTCCAAAGGAAACCCTAGTCTGTTCAGGTGAATCCTCGTCTGTCCTTCGAACGCACGACAAATCGACACGTCGTCATTAGCATCGCTATCTACGGCGAGTAATCATACGACGATCATTGTCAGAATGTTTCCGAACGATTTTGATACCCGTTCAATCGCTGGTTCGACGGCCACTGATTTGATACAGCTTCCTCGAATCAATGGAAGTTGGTTATTATTTAATTAACGAATAATTCAATCTACACAGAGATTATTGTTAGTCATTATTACATTATTACAATTACACTTTGAGTAACGTAATAGTTTTCATCTGATTTTTGACTTTTCTAATGTTTTTTAAATATTCTGGTCCTTTTTTTATAAATTTTCCTATTTATAATAATGTCTTGGCTGAGTCATGACAAAATTTTATAATGACGTTTGAATTGAATTGTTTTATTTTAGTTTATAATAATATTTTTTTTCTAATAATAAGGAACAAGATTCATTGTTATTATAGAAAATCAACTTTTTGTCAAATCTTGACGTTAAGTCTTTCGAAAATTAATGTTTTCATACAAATAATGCTAGAAAATGATCTAAATCAAAATTGGTTATTGATAAAACAGTAATTTATAGGCAACAACAGAATAGTTGACAAATAAAATTTGTTACGACGTCAAATGATCATGAAGAATTCAACGATGGTAAACGATTGAATGGTAATGAATTGCCACTTCGAAAACTGTCGGTAATGATATACTCAAATCGTATTGTAAATCAGTTATTAAGAATTACTTTAGTTAGTGTTCTAAAGTTATTGACTACAATAACTATAATAACAAGTTTTACTACAAATGACGAGGTGAATTGCGTAAAGATTGCACATTTTACTTGTTTTTTAAAATGTTCAAGAGTTTTCTATTCTTTCTGAGATATAATAATCTAAGAATTCGAATTATTGAGTTTGTGAATAACTGAGACTCATCTGTCTGTCACGAACGGTCTGTCGTGTTTTGTTTACGGTATTGATTAATTACTGTGTAATTGTATTGATAAATAGCACATTACTGTCGAAAATGTTATCAGTTATAAGAATGTCGAATTACGAGGAGGATCTAATAATCACGTATTATTATATTCAATACAAAAGATTTCAAAGAAGATTTTGGTCACATCCATATATTGAAAGAAATATTAATTGTAGGACATCTGTTGTAAGAGAATTAGCTACAGCTGATAACCAGTCTCAGTCATGTCATAGAATATGTAAAAGTGCATGTAAAAATTTAATAAATATACTAATTGGATCATGCATACAAAAACAACATGAATATGCGAAAATGTTAAATACTGAAGAAAGGATTTTAATAACATTAAGGTAAATAAATGTAATTAGAATAATTTATTAATATTATCTTACTTTAGATTCGAATAGATTGTACATGTAAATAGTTCATGAGGATAATAAAATATAACAATATGATGTAATAATAACGTATTATAATAGTAAATGGAATAAGCAGAACACCAAATTAAACAAATTATTTGTGGATTGAATAATTAGTATTACGTAGTAGAATTCAAATCAGAAATCGAAGTACAATTAGTAAGTGGAGAAGTAGGTGGAATATGGCTTGATGGAGAAGATGAAAAATTATTAAGATATTTCGTCGACGTGGGCGTTAAATGTTCATGTTCAGACCGTGTTGAAATTTCATTTATTAACATTAAAACTTTCATTTTAAACTCTCGCATCTCTATATCCGAAAATTTAGCAATATCTGGTAATAAGCTTAATAAAAACATTCTTCGAGGATCATCTCTAAGGGAGTCATTAAATGGATGGTTCTTCTGTACATAATTTATAAAAGATTTATCGATGTCAGCTGGTAATGTTTTTCGCTTTGTTTGGCATTTTCGCGAATTCTGTAAAGTTGTGTCTTGCGTCTGAGACAATAAGTTCTGTATTATGTCTTCCGTTTCCGCTTGTTCCTGTTTCGTTTCTTGATACATGTCTGTAGGAGAAATACTTGGAGAAGGAATAGTCGGGGCAAGAATAGTTTGAGGGGGTGGGAAATTGTCAAAATCTTGAATGTGAGCCACCGGTTTCACGTACGGTAACACAAACTGCATAATGTCGTGCAGATAGTATCGTTTTCTTTTTCTTGTGGTTGATCCACTTTGGGCTGGTTTTAAACTGCGAACAAATCCATTCCTGATGTTCTTCCACTTCTCTTTGCAATCAGCAACTGTAGGAAATAACGGATGTTAATAGTATGCAATCATAAATGATTATACAGGATGATAGGAAATAGTATTCATAACTGTTGAGATACATCGAGAAATGAATAGAAGAATTAATATTTCCAAAGTTATAAATAAATTTTTGTTTCGGTTAAAACAATTAATTTTCTCGTTTCGGGAGCTATCACACTATATGGAAATAATGGATTGCCTTAACATTTCTCTTTCGGTTGATTTTAATAATATAATTGTAGTAATTCTGTGTTACGATACAAGCATAGAGGTGAAAAGATAAATTGTTTATTACTTTAAAAATATTAATTTTTCACCCATGTTTATTAAAACATTTTTGTAGCATTTATCAAATATGATCTATGCTAGAAGTTACGAATATTTTTTTATTCCTCTGTATCTCGTTCATAGGGAGACCATAGCATTAACTGTGGCAAAAACCACGCAAATAATGTGGGATAGTTTGAAAAAAGTTATATGGCCATATTGATTGAAGACGACTGAAAAGCCATCGTGGCTTTTTGGATCTATGTAGTCATTTTAATTATAAGGGATACAATTTTATTATTTTATTATATTATAAATTGTACATATTTTATTATATTATATTTTATATATTGTATATTGTGTATTATATATTATATATTATATATTAGGGTACTGACATGTAGATGGCCATTTTATATCAATCGAAAGTGGTTTCTCGGGTGAAAATAATGATAGTGAAGCGAAATGCTCCACTATACGAAATGTATAACCGCTTTAGGACGATGAATACAAAGAAACAGTACCAATCTGTCTAATCAAGCACAATTACCTTACGATGAAAGTGGAAATGTGAATCCCTATTACTTTCTCGCGAATAATGCATTTCCATTGCAACGCAACCTTATTCGTAAGGAAACATAAACATAAACAAAATATACAGGATGTTAAAAAATTGTATTACTATATTTATATAGGGAATAGTACACTATGCTAAATAAAACCTTAGTGAACATAACTCAAAATCCACTATGTATATATTGCAACGTAATTTTTGAACACCTTGTATAATTACAGACTAGTATGGAAAGATCGCAAATGATCTGGCTCCAATTTAAATGTAACTTTGTATAGCTAAACATATTGCAGACGTGTTTTTTCTAGCTGTAGTAATTCAAGCTTAAAGGCTCTGATGCAGGCTGAAACTTGCAGCGATGCAGGTATCGCTATAAGTGATGGGTTTGAGTCTTTTAAGGTTTCATGATACATGTATTCAAACAACAAGTGAAAAAGGCTCAAACCCATCGCTACTGCTGCATATTTCAACGTACATGGGAGCCTTAAGGGGTGAAACCACCCTCAAAATGTTTGACCCCTTAAGGGCTCTCTCGGAAATAGTAGGAGATAAAAAAATATTTATTTAACAAAAATTGAACACACACGCTTACTTGTGTTAATTAATAAAATAACTATAAATGTATATATTTTGTTGCTTTTATAACAGAAAATATAATATTTTTTGTTATGTACATAGCTTTTGTATTTATTAAAATGAACATGACGGACGTAATTTTTTAACCCTTTGAACTCTGTAGGCTCCAATATTGCATCAGTTCTAATATTAAATATTTTAATGAATTTTAAGAAAACTACCTTAAGATCTTCCAAATATACAAATTTTGTACTGAGAAGAGAATTAAAAGTCTAAGAAATGTTATAACATTGTTAATTTTCAGTAGGACTACTATCAAAATTGGTAGGAGTTGCTGACATATCACAAAACTATGTGGAGTGCTAAGGGTTAAATTATTTTTCAAAATTATATAATTGTATTTTCTTCCAAAGTGTTAGAGACCATTCAATTTTTGTTAAAAAAGTGTTTTTTTATCATTTCCAAGATAACTCTTAAGGGGCAAAATTTTGCAAGATGGTTTCATCCTTTCAACTTAGATTTATTCAAATCGGAGCCGTACCGTTCGCGGCCTTTTCTTGTAAGTCGGAAAACGAGTATTGAATGCGTTTTTAGAATGTTATGTGAAAGATTTCAAGTATCTTTAACGTCAATTAAATGACACGGATGTGAAATTGTAGTTTCAATCGTAAGATGCACCCGTATATTTTATAATTACATAGGTACGTTGCAATAATGGAATTCCCTATACTAGCATAGGTAGCCACTGAAATTACAAAATTTCTAGAAGCTTAGCAAAGTACATTTAGCCGAGCCCACAAAATATAATAATCATGAAAGCTTTATGCGATTATCTGGCCTATTATTTTTTAAATCCAAATACTGCTTTCACGTGGTAATAAAAATATTGTGTAAATAATTAAGTAAAACGAAATTTTTTAAATTTGAATTTTTATGGTATTCACCTGACCAATTCATTTTGTTCGCCACATCACTCCAAGCGTTCTCAGTTATGTCTTTTCTGGCATACTCTGAACTAGTGTTGTCATACAAACATGGGTATTTTTCAATTGTCCGAACGAAAGTCGTGACGCCTGCCATTTTCCTGCTAGCTGCAATGACGCCTCGCTACTGACGCTGTCGTACGGTGAGCGTAATAACGAATGAAGGTAGCAACGAAATCATGAAATTATCGATTCGTGGCAGTCATCTATTGGTTTAATTGTCCGCAATTATTTGTTGAAAGACAGTGTACGTAAGCGAATATGCGTTTATGAAACGAAGACTCGGTACAGAGGGCCTTTGTCGCTGAGCGTATCTACACGGAGCGTACATCGAGCGTACATTAAGCGTATTTTGTCGTGACGACGCGACGTCTCGTGCACGGAGGGCCTTCCTGAACTGACCGTCCTCCATGAGAAGAGGACGCTACAATCAGTCTTGAATTTCTAGGTTGGTAAAGCAGTTTGATCCAAATCATGTTAGCCTATAACAGTATTGGGTAGGAATCAATTAATGTCTACTGTAACTGATTAATCAAGTGAATAAAATTAATTATTTGAATTAAATATAGTTGAACGAAACTTTCGAAAACTTATTAAATTCAGTTGGACTGTAATTTGGCATACAGCTTCTTTTTAGTTAGAAACGATATTTACGAGAAGGATTTTTAACAATTCGATGGTTAAGATACAAGGTTTTACAATAAAGTGTTTTACCATTTTAGTGTCACTCCCTGTAATTTTGAAAAACTTTATACTCTGTGTGGATTAATATTTCATGCATAGATTTTCATTTTGTATAAATGAAATATTTCGAGAAAAACTTTTGCCAATTTGAGAGATAACACACGGAATTTTATGAAAAAGTGTTTCACCATTGTAATCTCATTCCCTACGTTGTTGACTGATGTAGAATAAAATTACAACTATCGACAAGAAATAATGTAGATTCATCGACAAGAGATAGGACACACTAAATCATCGACGAGAGATAAGTCTTGTTGGTAATGTCTCTCGTCAATGGTCCTATGCTACAATGGTATAGTAGGAAGTGACGGTGTATTGGTGAAAAGTTTTTTCTCAAAATCCTATATTTTAACTATCAAGTTGTTAAAAATCCTTCTCGTAAACATTTTCCTTGGGAAAAATAAGGTTACATGCAAAATCACAGTCTAATTAGAGAATAAAAGTTAATATAATTACAGGGAGTGACACTAAAATGATAAAACATTTGTTTGTATGTAATAATAAATGTATTGTTCTTAGGTATTATAAAATGTCGAACGTAATTTTTCCACATATTGCAGTACTTTCTTTACGTATTTATTAAAACTAGCACGATAAGTTACAAACTTTTTTTTTCAAAACATAATTTCTTAAAGTGAAAGTAGATATCACGAACCCATAAAGAAGGTTTCTTGAATTGATGCAGACAATTCTTCAAAACTTATACACAATTATGCAATGCAGAATATTTACATTACACTCTTTATTGAAAAATAGGAGCATACAATACGAACTCATTAAGAAATATGCAATTCCACAAATACAATAAAAAAACTATTGTTAAAGTATTTAATCTGTTTGTAACCAAAAAGTTTTTTGAGTCTTCATTTACTTTCTGTTGTAATGGGAACTCGTGTAAAGTATTTTCAAACTGGAAAAGCTAGAATTTCGTTTTAAACTGAAAAAAACGTAAGCTTATTTTCGCAGGAGAACCACACGTGAACCTATGACAACGTAATCAAATATTCATTCATCGTACTGTCCAAAGAGGAAGTGGATGGTTATTATGAAAGTAATAAAGCTGACGTGTTCGCGAGTAGAATAATCCGAATTTCTCGATTTCATTTCATTTCGTCTCACCCACCAGCAAATAGAATGATTAGGTTTGCGCGGCGAGCGAATACAAATCAGAATACATTTCGATTATTTGTGAACTACATGCACGTTCATAATACTTACGTATAGTGGCTGTCATAGGAAATCGTACACTTTACAACTCGTAAGATTTTCGTTTACACATTCAATTTATTGTGTAATTCAGATTAAAATAATTTGAATATACATAAATTAATCTACTTCGATTTGATATATTAAAACTGTAAACTAAATGTGCCATTTGAAAATAAACAAATTTGAACGTAAGGTATCAAAATCATTAGTTGCTAAAAGTCGTGTAGCTTAATAAAACTAATAATTCGAGAAATATCTGAAATAAATTTCTCAAGTACATTTCATAGTCGGCTATTCTTTATTCTCAGTTTTGTTCAAATGTTCTATAAGGCTCACATTTAAACGAGTCAAATCATTATATATTTACTACTTATTAATTCAGAAATTATTAGAGGTTTTAGTGACTTTACAATAGTGGTGAATAGAAGTGAAAGTGTAAAGAATATATTATTAAGCGAGACGAAGAATATTATCATACATGAAATACCGTAAAACAAACTCAGTTAAGAAAATATAATTTTTCCAAATTCTCGATGCGAGGAAACCTTAGTTTTTCTGGGGTTCAAAGATTACGATAGCACAGTAGAACCTCGGTTAATCAAGTCACTATCTTTTGCGATCTAGATCATTAAGTTTTTTGGTTATTCTTAAACGTAATAATTCAAATTCTTAACTTACATCTCAAGATATATACAACCAAATGTTGCAAACATGTTTTAAGATATTTCTCCTCGAGTCTTCATTTATCTGGACTGGCCCAATTAAATCAACTAATCAAGGTTGTAATCGGCATAGTGAATTCCGAATATACAGAAATTCTGAAAGAAAGTCCTCCACGGAAACTCTATTAATCACATTTTCGTTGTGCACCGGACAGTCTTCTGACTTACTTATCGTTGCTCGTAAAGAATGGAAAATCGGCGATAAGATACGCGATTTGGGAGATTTGGGACGCGCGTGCGACTCGCCTACGCGTTCCGCGTGGAATCGTCCGCGCGCAGGGACGCGATGATCGCTGATTTATAGTGCATTGTGTTCTTAAACTCCTTGGTTATATATACGAGGCAGTCCTAGTCGCGACAATGCTCGAGGCTCGGGCTGGTCCTGATTCCTTTTTTGTCCCGACCGTGGCCCGCGTATTTTGTTGGCGCAACAATCGTCTTTGCCAGTCGGTCCGCCGGTTCTGGCATGGCGAATCGGAATCGCGACACCATGTTCTGTGGGGTTAAAGTCATCCTACTGTGGAGACGGCGATAACTCGCAACGCGGGCCAACAATTTTCGAGATGAGCGTACATTAAGGAATTTGAAATCCGGTTGTCCTATTACTGGTCTTTGATGATCGGATTCAGGCCGCTTTAATATTTCTTCGATTGGCAATCGAACTTCTTGAAATTCGAGGACGTTTTAAGGACTTTATAGCATTTCGTCAGCTCACGAAAAAATCTGTGAAAAATCATTAATCGAGACTGTAAATATAAAAGTCATGAGTCAGATCGATTTGATCCGAAATATTCGGACCAGCAGTATCGGTGCTGCATTTTTCAATAATTCGAAGACTGCTAGGTTTCAAGTATTAAAGTTAGAAAAAAGACAGGATTGTCGGACCTCATAGTTCTCTTGGTCTCCACTAAACAGGAGAAAACAAAAAAAGAAGATCGTGTAATGATCATGAAAAGAAGGGGAAGATCGTGCGATCGCGTGGGCGGACTTTTATGGCGGTTGATTGCTTGATTTATAATCTCAGCTGGGCTCCTCGGCAATCATAAAGGATCGCGGAGCTCGCTCGCTAATATCCGTGGATTTTTGCGCGGGCACGGGAAGGGTGAAGGGCGCTGCTCACAACGATCAAAGTTTGATTAAGAGCACTGCCATACTCGGGGCCCAACTGCGAACAAAAACTAGGGGACATTGCTTACCGTAAACACGCCCCCGTCGTTAAGGCAGGACCTTGAAATTTACTTCACCGCTCAGACTGCCTCTTTTCTACCCCTATACTCCGTGCTTTCGGCTAATCAGAGATCGCGGATTTTACGACCGTCGATGTGATCGTTAAAGGGATATCGCCAATATGGCTGCCCCTGGTGCCGTGGACGTTGAGCTCATCAACCGCGACACAGAAATTTCCACCTGTACTATTAAATGGATCCTGTTCACTGAATGAAAAACTGAGTGAACAGCGTAAGCGTGTTCTTCTGAAAGAAGCAGAGCAACTTTTCTTATGCATTATCTGTATATCATACGATGAATAGTTTTGAATGAAAAGAGTCATTTTCCATAGAAAAATGCACTGAAAAGGTATCTGCAACAGAAAGGTTTTAAATATTTCGTCAAAATTCTATGCATCTCTTTAGTAAATATTAGAAACTAAACATTTTTGGCGTTACGTCACCGGAAATCAAATTGCTGCATTGAAGAGATTTCAGTCCAACTGTTTTGTAAAGGAAGGAGAGAAAAATATGAATCAATGAAAATTATGTTTCAAACTTTTGAAAATTTATCTTTGTGTAAGAAATAATTTTAACACATTGCAATGGAAATGCAAAAATGCAAAATATGCGCTTAATAGGAAAAAGTATATAAAATGTCCAAAGTGTACACATTTTTATAGCATTTTCTGGCAAAAATAAATAGTTTTGATATTATAATGTCGCAACTGATCTTAAAATATATTTAATGATCTACTGTAATGTTACTTTAAATCTTGAAATAAAATTTCGAGCATTAGGTGTAACATTAAAATCGCGATTAAATATTTCGCGATATTACAAGATAATTTTATTTTATATTTTTCCTTCGATTATCTAATAACAATAACTGTTTTATCATCGTATTAGACTTCTTAATCCTATGTTATCGTCAATCGGTAAACATTTACATCGATAACCGTTACCTTCTCTTGTAACAGATGGAGCTGTGAGCAATATCATTTGATTTTGTCACGGGCTATTTCGGTTCGCTGTAACTTTATATTCGTTACATTAGGTCCAGTACATATGCAATAAAAAAAGGATAATATTAAACACATTTATTGTACACTTTATTTTATTATTCCTAAAAAGCAAGTGTTCATTCTTATACGTCTTAGAGATCATACAATATTAACTCTTTTGATTCCAAAACAATAAACATCAAAGGTTTCGATCCTTGAAATTCAATTCATAGAAAAATCATATTTTCCTATAATTTCTGCTCATTTCAAGTAACCAGCGCCCCTATCAACCGTGCCATTGCTTCAAAACTATTATGTCTTCTTCAAAGCAAAAATTCATTTATTTCCCCAAAGAAAGTAATATTTCCACCCTTCCGCGAAAGGTGTTTTCAGTTTTCTGTTTCGAACAGGTAGAGTTAATTTTTATTGACATCGGGACACGGACTGGTATAAAATGTACATGGACGGCGATAACGAAATCCTCACCCTTTTTGGTGCAC